CAGTTTCCTGGAAGCGGATAGGTTTGGGAAGTGCATGTTTCCCTTACTCCCCAGCAGCCAGCAATCAAACATTGCAATAGGCGAAATCATTTGTTTGAAAAGTGAAACCATCACCTAGAATTACTGTGTACATAGAGATCTGTTCTGGAATTTTAGATAAAATGAGTAATGAAGCATGTTCCTATATGTTTCATGGTTACCCGGGGATACCACAGGACAGTTTACAATTGGGGTTCCGGTATACGGATTACCTTTTCTCATCCTCATCCAGCCTTCATGGAAAACCAAAACTGAGGCTCTAGAAGCTGTTCAGAAGAATCCCCGATTGCTCACCATCCCCGCTTTTGAATATGAAACTCGGTGCTGATTTGGGGCCTCCCTGGCCTGGAAGTCTTGAGTAATCGCCGTAGATATGCAGGTCAATAGATTTACACTTACGACATGAATGTCATCATTTTCTGTGACACTTCTCACATAGAGTTAGATTACGTATGTGAATTTATATTAGTTTTGTTGCCTCAACGAGCATTAATTTCTTCAAGCAGCGAAGCTATCATCCTGGCAGCTCAGTGAAGATACCCGGGGACATGTCCCTTTAATATCCCTTAATGTGGGTAAAACAATGCCATTTTTACCACCCATGACTGGGAATGGTTTATATATACCACCTATCAAAATGGTGATGACTGGGGGATGGTTTATGAAATTGTTTTACCCACATTTACTTTGTTTTGTGATGACATTAAGTTTTAAGCATGTTGTTGGTCAAACGGAGTCAAACGACTAGCGGGATCGGACCCTGGTGTTTGGAAACCTAGTAGAACACTTGACAATAAACACCAGGTTTCCTCAGAAGATTGATCATTATTGATCATCATAAACTACAATATTGTTTATGATATTAATGTTAACATCAATGTTGTTTATTGATGATATTTATGATCATTATTGATAAATGTAGTTTATGATAATGAACAATAATGTTCAAACCCCATGTTTATTGATCATCAACGACTTTTTCTTTGCTCAGAAACTATGAATCCCTTCAGTTCTTCTCCTCCCTATCCTCAGAAGCATTTCATTCCAAGATCATGACTCCCAGTTATGTTTGTTGGTTTATATATTACCCTCTGGTAAACTAACATAACTATAGAAAATCACAATTTTTAATGGATAAATCCACTATAAATGGTCATTTTCAATAGCTATGTTAGTTTACCGGAGGGTATATAATTCCCCAAATCCTAACCTACTTATAGATATACGTAGATCATCGGCACAACCTTGATGCTATTTGTTAAAAGAACACAGGAAAGAACGAAGCCTTCTTTGGAGTCTTGGCTGATCTTTCGGAAAGTGGGCGGTGATGGGGGATCCCAGGCGTCACCATGGTTGTTTCAATGGTAAGTCATGGTCTAATGACTCGGATGATTTGGGGGTACCCCCATGACTTTGGAAACCTCCAATATAACTATATATATATATTATATATACATATATATATATATATACATATTATATATATATATTATTATATTAATTGGGGATTTCAGTTTTCAGTGTGCAACATATGGATAAATGATGGGGACAACTTGATCAGGATTGCGTGAAATTCGCTCGTAGTTTCACGCCTTTGGCCTTGTATGGTTTCGCGGACTTTTTTGCTTAGCATTGTTTGAGTTGCGAGTGGCTTGTTTTGCACTTGAACGTTTGCTGTGTTGTGAATGTGTTGTTCGGGGGAATCATGTTGCTGTTTATTTGAAGGTAATCATGTTCTTGACTATAATCCCAGAATGTATCCCACATATATACCACAGATTTACCTGTTGGTTAAACGATGAGAATGGTTGGTGGTTTCAACCATTTTTTATTTTCCATAATAATTATATGGGATAATCCTTCCCATTGACTTTCATATTCTTCAAGATGGTTTTTGCACCACCAACCAGTTAAACGTTTAAACGCAGATTTTTAGCCCGCATCATCATGACATCGAATGGTGCCCGGTTCGAAGCTCAACATCCGCGGGGCCTGGCCCAGGACTCTTTGAACACGGCAGCGACAGCCATTGACTTCCTGCGACCCCTGGGCGAGGTCGGGTGCGGCGCTGGCTATGCCCCCAATGGAGATGGATTGCGCTGCATGTATAGTTGATTGATGTTGATTGCACGTACTGTTGGCCATACAATGAGTTCATAGATGTTTATAATGTTATATATAAGTTATATGCTCTGTTGCACTGAAAGTATCTGAAAGTGATCATCTTGTGTTTTCACAATCCACACTGGGTGTATTTGAATGTTTGGTTGGTAAAACCATGGTTTCATGTATTTGCTCGGTAAATAATGGTAAATCAATCCGTTGATTATCCCCTTTCTGCATCAGCCATTTTTCCGTTTTTATCAACCATGAGAATTATTTGAAGATACAATACTATTTCCTTTATCCCCTTGTCTCAACCCCATTGTCTCCGAATTGAATGACGATAAACATTGAGGCCAAAAGGCTAAACCCCCTGTGATTACTGGGAACAATCAACGCGGTTTCCTCTCAGGTTTCCCTTCAATCAATCCCTATCATAGGGAAAACACAAGTTCCCCTTGCAGTACTCAACCCATTGGTAGATATCCACATGGTTGCTGGATAAAGTCGCCATATATCCCCATGATTGTTAGTCAATACGATCATCATCACTGGTTAATATCCCCATGACTGATCTTCAATCAACACTCAAAGGCCAAATCCGTTCATACTTCTATGGTTCCCTTGAGATTCCGGTAAAATGATCATACATTATCTCAATTTTATGCAAGTTAGTCACATGTTACCTAGTATAGCCCCATAAAATCCCATAGATCTCCTTACAATCCAACAAGTCGTCCGAATTCCCATTGGCATTCCAATCTATTTTTATCCCATAAGAAGCCCAACAAAATTCCAATGGGGCACCCGGGCATCTCCCCAGGTGGGCTTGGCAATTGTCATTTTCGGGTCCTTTGTGGCGCTGCTGCTAGTGCTCAGGTCATGGCATGTTCATGTCGATTGTAACCTTTTTAAACTTTGTTTGGTTGATTAGTATATCGATGTTTTTTGGATTTTAATCATGAAAATATTGGAAGATGATTGGATATATGATATATGTGTATGATGATTGATTGATTATTAAAAGTTGTTTAGTGGTTGTACTATTGAATATATCCGGGATCATAATCTGTATCAACCAACCAATGAAATAGAATGACAGAGGGTAGTGAACACTGCTCGTATAATAGGCCTTTTGCATGGTTTCAAGATGGAGATTAACACGCCATAACCCTCCAAGATTGAGAGCTGAACCAACAACAAAGTTAACTGGTTGATGATCCCAACTGACGAACTCATATTTTTCAGAGGGGTAGGTATACCACCAACCAGTTAATTAATGTCAACATTTAAACTTGGGGAATTGCGTATGTCTCGGCATCCAGTTTTGACCCCTTGTCCAACTATGACCAGGGATGGCATTTTTCGTGCATGTTTTTGGGTATGGTGCAGCAAATATGTATATAGTCGCATTTGTATAAAACCTGCAAGAACGAAGCATTGTCAGTTACTTGTATACACAAACAACAAATGTAATCACACATATTGTGATACACTTACGACGGGATTGCGGGTCATGCCCAGTTCGTAACACCTTTGTCTTGTTGTTTGAACTCTTTTTTTAAATAAATATATCCTCGATGTTGTGTTGCCTCTGGATTTTCATTTGCTGAAAAACAAATAATCTGATTCGTACACTTGCTGGTTCACCCCAGTTAGCACATAAGCCTGGCTATAGCTTGACATTCCAAGTCAACACCACTGCTAGTGCGCCAGCAAGTATAAATCATAGCCTAGTCATACTTCAGAAGGTACGGCTGGATCTATAGAATCTATAGAACTATTATATAATCCACAATAATGATTATTTGCCTGGCAGCATTTTAGATCCATTTTTCATCACACGCATAGTCCATGACCCCAATCATTCACTCTCCACGAGAAACCGCAGGCCGCTCATTTACGGAGTGGGCGGGGGCCCGTTGGGATCCCTATCTCACCATGGGACTTCGGGGCTTCCAATTCTGGAGCGAAGGTGGACATGTTTAACATGTGGATATTGTGGTACCAAGATGATCTAGAAACAATAAGTCAATTTTATGACTCCTATAAATATAGTTATTCTAGAAATATCTAAAATATGTTATATGCATTATGGAGGTTTCTAGCTGGGAAAATCATCTATAAATGGGCTATTTTCCATGGCTATGTCAATAACTACTGAGGCTCTGTGAGTTGGACGGTCTTTTGAAACCCTCTGTAAGTGCAACACGATCATCAACAGTACAATGTGAGGCCCCCAAGATAGCTAAGTTGGTTTATAACTCCAATAGCTATGGTTTATGGTATTTATAACTATAGTTACTGGGGCTTATAAACCAACTTATATCTTGGGGGCCTCACATTGTAGCTATACGTTTGAAACAGCCGCAATTTCATTCCATAAGGCCAAGAACCTTCACTGGTTGGTGGTGACTGGAACATGAATGGATTATGACTTTCCATATCTTGGGAATTTCATCATCCCAACTGACTCATATTTTTCAGAGGGGTAGGTATACCAGCAACCAGTTCAATATTGGATACAAGATGGATTAATTGTCCATTGCGGATGACTGGATTAACATGTTTAATGATCATTTTTTGTCCAGTCCTTTAACGCCCTGGGTCATTTCAAGTTATGTGCATGTGCTGTATATCCCTTGGCTGTTGGCCAGTTATAAACCTTTTTTTGGTTGGCGTGGTGCAGAAGCAAAGCCCTTGCTTGGGAGAAGCCATGCAACGTTGGTGAGCTGCATACCCAATGGCGTCGCTGCTTATGCATTCATACCTCGGCCCTTGAGCCATCCAAAAAGACGGGTCAAAAGGACATACCCGCGCATGCCAAAAGTGTGAATCTGGTTGGTGGTTTGGAACATGAATTTTATTTTCCAGAGTATATGGGATAATACTTCCCATTGACTAATATTTTTCAGAGGGGTTAAAACCACCAACCAGGAATTTTGGCGGTGCAAGCGCGCCTAAAACGTGGTTCTCTTTCCCAGGACGTTGTTTGGCTGAAATTGACAGTATTTGACAGTCGTGGAGCTCTGTTGCGGCGCGAAATCTTCCATCCCAACAATCCATGATCTTCAATCACATTCATTTTGTGTTTAAACAGGCCGAAACCACCAACCAGAATTCTATATATTTCTTCATCGTCAGACAAACATGTCGGTATTATGTTAAAAAAGGCTTCCATCATCTTCCATCCCATCTGTTTTCTCGGCTTTTCCAGCCCAAAGAATCCTCCAGAAAGATCCTCCAGAAAGTCGCCAGCGAAGCGAGGTCCCTTCTTGGCAGCATCACGGGTTCATTGCCACCCATTCCCAAGCCATGGGAAATTGCAGAGAGCTACGGCATCAACCTGGCCAGTGCCGTGGCCAAAAAATGCCACGGCCGTGGCTGCTATAGGTGCTATACGTTGGTTCGAGGGACCCAGGGGACAATAGGATGTTTAGCATCATTAGATATCATTAGCATCCAATTTTGGGGTAGACTGGTATACCCAACATTTGTTTAAAGCAGTAAGCATATTTTGATGGGGATTCAAGGTCTTCAGGTCAGAATCCCTAAGTCAAGGAAGAACAAAGTATGAAGATGTTCTCAAAGGTTTTCTGTGGTGTATTCCCACCATTGATGCATGAGTGGAATAAGCTGAGCATCACATTCCTGGAAAGCGCTCATGATATGGAACATTTATGGGACATTCGATGCTTGTTGCTGGTGATGATTATTATGTTTGGCAACTCGTTGTTTCTTGAGGTGTTGAAACTACAACACTGCAAGGTCCAGCCGAAAGTATTGCAATTTCACAAAGCTTCGACTTCTACAACTGGCAAGTTGTTGCTAACATGTCTGTAGCTCTTGACTCATGGTTGTTGGAGGTGTCATGACCATGACTAAGTGGGCATGGGTCAAAAATCAACATGCATGTAACCTATTTGGACACATCCAACTCATTAATTACTGGTTGGTGGTTTGGAACATTTGGATTATTTTTCCGTATCTTGGGAATTTCATCATCCCAACTGACGAACTCCATGATTTTTCAGAGGGGTAGGGTTGAAACCACCAACCAGATGCCATTAAAATTCCCATTAAATGCCATTAAACCACCATTAATCCCCATTAAACCACCATTAAATGCCATTAAACCACCATAAAATCCAATAAAACAACCATAAAATCCCATAAAACCACCATAAAATCACCATTAAACCACCATTAAACCATCTCATTATTTCGAGGTCATCCGTGTGTTCAGACCTTCCCCGCGGAATGATGTGAACGAGAATGAAACCGGCTGCCCCCCCAAAAAAAAAACGCTGGGAATTTGTCAAAATAACTATAGAAAGTCACCGTTTTTTACGGGGTAAATCAATTATAACTATGGAAAATCACCATGTTCAATGGGTAAATCAACTATAGCTATAGAAAATCACCGGTTTTTAATAGGTATAATTAAACCATCTAGTAATGATTTCCATAGCTATGTTAGTTTACCAGAAGGTATTCAATATTCATTGATACTCTGACTTGCATTTTTCGGTTGATACCCTCCGGTAATTTGTTACATAGCTATTTTAAAAAATGCCATAGAAATAGTGGATTTACCCAGCTACAAAATGGTGGATCTTTCCATAGCTACGTTAGTTTACTGTATATCAATGGATCCAACCATTTCTCAGTGTTCCGGCTTAGATGACCTAGTGGAACTCGAGTTGCCACCATAAGAGATCATATTTATATTATAATATATGATATTGAATGAATGGAATTTGCATGTCTTAAATTCTGAGTGACTACTCAAAACTGCGGATGAACTCATGAGATGCCGTTGATTCGAATCGTGGCTTTGTCTGAAAATCATTCAATTGTTTTGTTAATTAGGGGGTACTCCTCCAACATTCATTCTTTGATACTTCAATGGTACCCTCCCAGCCTCCCAATGAAACAGTTTTTGTTGTTGATTAATCCAGGGTTGACATTAATAACTTTCCATCCACTGGTTTAATATAGACTTTGTCTGAAAATCATGTACCATCTTATGAATCCAGGCTTGACATTACCATCCATTGCCCATGACGGATCCTAATGGTGCTGGTATATTAATGCTACCCTCTGGTGAACTAACATAGCTATTGAAAATGGCCATTTATAGTGAGTTTTCCCATTAAAAATGGTGATTTTCTATTGCTATGTTAGTTCACCGGAGGCTAACATAAAGGGGGTTAATCTTGATGGGATCCATGGCACAGCATTAAAATAGCAGCACCGTGAATGGATCCGTCATGGCTTGGATTCGCCGAGGTTTTGTTGCACTGATTCCCATCTCTCAGGCGGCAAGGGTAAAATGGTGATGGGGTGGCTCAGCCATTTTTGTCGGTTGAACCGAGTCGGTTGCTTTAATCTTTATAAGTTTATTGGAACCAACAAAAAGCTATTGAAAATGACCATAGAAATAGTGAGTTTTCCCATTAAACATGGTGATTTTCCAGTTCGTTATATATCATTTTACTATATTATATGATTTGTAAGTTTTATAGTAAATGATGGTTAGTAATAATATAAAATTAAAGGACCGGATAACCCCACATGTTACCAACTTCTTTAGACTTAGACTGACCATAGAAAAGCAAGAAGGGAAGAGGAAGTATAAGAGTGATGGAGCGGTGATGGTGGGTGAGTTTGTGTGTATGTATGTATGTATGTATGTTCATGTACAGTGAGTGAGTGAGAGTGTGAGTGAGTGATGTGAGTGTGGTGTGTGTGAGTGAGGGATGTGAGAGTGAGTGAAGTGAGTGAAGTGAAGTGAGTGAAGTGAAGTGAAGTGAAGTGAAGTGAGTGAGTGAGTGGGTGAGTGAGTGAGTGGGTGAGTGAGTGAGTGCGGTAGGTGCGGTAGGTGCGGTAGGTGCGGTAGGTGCGGTAGGTGCGGTAGGTGCGGTAGGTGCGGTAGGTGCGGTAGGTGAGGTAGGTGAGGTAGGTGAGGTAGGTGAGGTAGGTGAGGTAGGTGAGGTAGGTGAGTGAGTGAGTGAATGTGAGTGAGTGTGAGTGAGTGTGAGTGAGTGTGACTGAGTGTGAGTGCACATTGTCCCACGCCTGCCACGCAAAAGACGCGGAGCCCGAGGGACGCCAGGGCGTACATCCGACCCCTTGGCTGCTCACATTGGCCCCACGCCTGCCACGCAAAAGACGCGGAGCCCGAGGGACGCCAGGGCGTACATCCGACCCCTTGGCTGCTCACATTGTCCCACGCCTGCCACGCAAAAGACGCGGAGCCCGAGGGACGCCAGGGCGTACATCCGACCCCTTGGCTGCTCTCATTGTCCCACGCCTGCCACGCAAAAAGACGCAGAGCCCGAGGGACGCCAGGGCGTACATCCGACCCCTTGGCAGTGCACATTGTCCCACGCCTGCCACGCAAAAGACGCGGAGCCCGAGGGACGCCAGGGCGTACATCCGACCCCTTGGCAGTGCACATTGTCCCACGCCTGCCACGCAAAAGACGCGGAGCCCGAGGGACGCCAGGGCGTACATCCGACCCCTTGGCAGTGCACATTGTCCCACGCCTGCCACGCAAAAGACGCGGAGCCCGAGGGACGCCAGGGCGTACATCCGACCCCTTGGCAGTGCACATTGTCCCACGCCTGCCACGCAAAAGACGCGGAACCCGAGGGACGCCAGGGCGCCACCCCTTGGCTGCTCACATTGTCCCAAGCAAAAGACGCGGAGCCCGAGGGACGCCAGGGCGTACATCCGACCCCTTGGCAGTGCACATTGTCCCACGCCTGCCACGCAAAAGACGCGGAGCCCGAGGGACGCCAGGGCGTACATCCGACCCCTTGGCAGTGCACATTGTCCCACGCCTGCCACGCAAAAGAGGCGGAGCCCGAGGGACGCCAGGGCGTACATCCGACCCCTTGGCAGTGCACATTGTCCCACGCCTGCCACGCAAAAGACGCGGAGCCCGAGGGACGCCAGGGCGTACATCCGACCCCTTGGCTGCTCACATTGTCCCACGCCTGCCACGCAAAAGAGGCGGAGCCCGAGGGACGCCAGGGCGTACATCCGACCCCTTGGCAGTGCACATTGTCCCACGCCTGCCACGCAAAATGCACATGAGTGAGCGAGTGTGAGTGAGTATGTGAGTGTGTGAGTGTGTGAGTGTGTGTGTGTGTGAGTGAGTGAGTGAGTGAGTGAGAGTGAGTGAGTGAGAGAGTGTGTGTGTGTGTGTTTGTTTGTGTGTGTGAGTGAGTGTGAGTGTGAGTGTGAGTGTGAGTGTGAGTGTGAGTGTGAGTGTGAGTGTGAGTGTGAGTGTGAGTGTGAGTGTGAGTGTGAGGTGAGTGAGTGAGTGAGTGAGTGAGTGAGTGAGTGAGTGAGTGAGTGAGTGAGTGAGTGAGTGAGTGAGTGAGTGAGTGAGTGAGTGTGGAGTGAGAGTGAGTGAGTGAGAGTGAGTGAGTGAGTGAGTGTGAGTGTGAGTGTGAGTGTGAGTGTGAGTGAGTGAGAGTGAGTGAGAGTGAGTGAGTGTGAGTGAGTGTGTTTGAGTGAGTGAGTGAGTGTGAGTGAGTGTGAGTGAGTGTGACTGAGTGAGTGTGAGTGAGTGAGTGTGAGTGTGAGTGGCGGGCGGGCGGGCGGAGGCGGCGGATACAGAACTAAAAACAAAAACCCCACACGTCAATGTGGGGAATAAACCATGGAGTTTCTGATGATATATGCTGGTTGGTGGTGACTGGAACATGAATGGATTACGACTTTCCATTCATATTCGGAATGTCATCATCCCAACTGACTTTAACTCCATGATTTTTCAGAGGGATTGAAACCACGAACCAGAGTAGTTTATAATCTATAACTGTTTACAATCACGTTCATTTAATCTTAATGCATATTAATGGTAATTGCAAAAAAAATATAAATCCACAATCTTATTTCACAACATGGTTTCATACTTTGTTTGTTTGCCATACATGTGACTAATATATATATATATATATATATAATTTTCTAACCAACTATATGTTTTGTTTGCAGTTTAGATGAAGGATCTGGCAAACCGTCAGCAAACGAGGTACCTCTGGCTTGATTGGGTCAAGTCCTGGAACCTTAAGTGGTTCAATCAATGGATTGGGAAAAAAACATAGTTCATGGGAAAATTGAACCATTTGAGGAAAAACCATTGATTGAAATATGGGTTTTAAGTGACAATTTATAGGAAAACCCCATATTTCATGAGAAAATTTCGATGGTTTTCCGGTTAAGATTGTCCCTTAAACCAATCCATTGATTCACTGCGACCTCACTGGAATTATGTTTTTTTTTTTAAGGGAAATCATCCCCAAATGGCCTTAATTCAGGTTAGTGAAATATGATATGTTACCCATGTTTCCATGGAAAACCCATAAGAAATTCCGGCAATTTGAAGATGAAGCACCCAAACTTAGACCTCCAAGTTGGACTTTTTTGGGGATTGCCCAGGTCATCAGCGCTTTCAGCAAACAGATGAAGTGAAGGGCCGATGGGACTGAACTTTTTGTGACCCCGGATGAAGCCTGGCTGAGTTGAAGCGGAAGCGAAAAGGGGAGCAAACTGAGAAAAACCTGTTCTGAATCCTTGGTGAATCGCTGAATATGAAAGATGTAGATTCCAGATGTCAAGCTTAGGGTTGAACGGTTGGACATCGACCCAGGGTTACCCCCGAAACAAAATAGAACCTGCTATGATGGACCGAATTATCACCAACTGAACCAGCCAGTCGTTTTTAACATTCCGGGCTTAACATGCGCTGGAACACCCATGTCATACCTCTGGGCAGCAGAACAAGCTCACCCCAATCTGTTGGTGTCGGTGACTTTCCTCAAACCAACCACCAAAAATAGGTCAAGGATGGTGAAGGGAGAATCATCCTAAGAGTGCACATAGACTTTGGGGCATTATCGTCTAAAATACCCCCTTTAACTGGGATCTTGAAGTCCAGACAGTTTGACGTTACAGGGGGCTGAGGATGATGAGGGGGAGCATAAATCATTGAAAAAATATGCATTTTCCAGGTTTGACATGTCCAGTGTAGGATGCTAGTTTGGTCTGCTGGCAAAATACCAGCTGCAGCCCAATTTTAACACGACACCCCGCGTGCGTCGCGCTGATGTGTCTCGTGTTGCATTGATATGCATTGATTCATTTTTCCGGATGCAAAACGATGGCTTGAACGGCCGCAGTTGCGAGTTGTGATCGGTCTGGTGTTGGATTGGAGAAATTACCCTCTGGTAATTTAACATAACTATGGAAAATCACAATTTTTAATGGGTAAATCCACTATAAATAAGTAAATCTGTGACCAGTCAGACTTTGGAAGTTCGACCCACTGCCGAAATTGGGATGAGCATGAACATCATTGGAATGGGTCTGACAATGGCTATACCATGATATACCATGACATAGCCGCTTTAAGATGGACAGTCAAATGATTCACCGAAGTATTTTCAGACAAATCCACATGAATCTCATTGAAGGTGATATGTTTTTTGCTGTTTTACTTGAAGCTTCAGGATGGTTCAGGATGGGCCCAGGATAGGATCGCTTCGGGCCGCACAGGTGATGGATGCTTTGGTTCCCTGGGAAATTTCTTCACCTTCCAACCCCGTTGGGGGACCCTGGAAACACTGGCTGCTGGTTGGAAGTGGGGAACACCCAGCTGCAGTTGGAAGTTCCGAAGCAGAATGAGTTGTGGCTCGGAACATGTTTGAGAAGTCAGTTTCCACGGGAGTCATCTTGAGTCTAACAGTTTTAGTGGTTCTTTTTCACAGCTGGTAGCTGGGTTCATCTCTTCAAGTTCCAAATCATGTTGCTTGGTTGCTCCAACCCATAGGTAAATAGGGTTGCCACAAGCAGGGGACATGCGTAATTGCACCATATTTACTCTTCCCCAAACGTATCTGGGTCAGGTGGGTCAGGGAGCAACCCTGAGCCTAATGTGGCAAACCATGGCAAACCATGGTAAAGCCAGGCCAGTAGAATGCAACAAGCCATCCCCAAAGACTTACGAAATACATGGGATTGGAACTAGTGTGGAAGGGCCAGCGAAATCACCAGTTGATAGATCTGATAGATGGTCTATCCATCTTTTTATCCCATTTTTTCTAGGCTTTCAACCATCCTCGTATTCAAAAAAAACATTCTATGTAGAGATATTTGATGAGACTACTACTAGATATTTAATTGATAAGACTTTTGGACCCATAATTGATGATAATTGATGAGATTACTATGAATTATGATTAATTACATAACATAGAATGGGTGCAGATTGTCTAAAAAGTATCTCACAAGATGTAGCTAGAGGAATATGTTAAGCAAATCTGGTCAGTTGTTGCCTGATGCACATCTACCTTTGACATCAACATGCCCATACAGAACATAACATCAGTTTCAGATACCCTGTGCGTGGGCCTAAATACCTTTGTTCATTGGCATTTTGGATGGTCTGAGGAGGGTCGCATTACTGGGCAAAAAACGATTGCGAAAAAAAACGACCAATGTGGCCAAAGGTGATTTTTTTTGCCAGGCAACACAATTAGATAAATTTGACCAGCGGGCCAAACACATCGAAACACTTCATCTAGTTGGTGGTGTCAAATAATTTCTATTGGAGGCTATTTTTGTTTGTTTTTTGTTGTTAAAACATCAGCCATTTCTATTTTCCTAGAAATAGAATAGAAGGATCCCAAGTACCCTCTGGTAAACATTCACATAGCTATTGAAGCCATGGCCCAGTCGAAATAGTGAGTTTTCCCATTAAAAAATATGATTTTCCATAGTTATATATCATTTTACTATATTATATATCTGATTTATAAGTTTTATAATAAACAATGGTTAATATATGGTTAATGATGGTTAATAACCAGAGGGTAACTCGAACTGAGTCCTTTTCTCTCGGTGACTTCAGCACCGCGACCGCCGCGACCGAGGCAGCGGCAGCTTTGAGGTGAATCCGCCCTTTGCCCCCAAGATGATCGCGCAGACTAGAGAGCACTTGCCGGGAACGCAGGGGAACGCAGGGGAACAGATGCGGCCAGGAAGTAGGAAAACATAGGAAAACTGCCATGGTTGGGTCAGGTACATCATCCATACATGATCATACATGGTCCATTTTCATCCATGTTCCATAATGTGGTTAAAACAATCATAAACCATTCCCAATTCACCATTTTTATTGATGGTATAAACCACCGAAAAAGGGGCTGGTTTATTATTGTTTTAAGATGTTTTAAGCACAGTAGCTATTCCATGTTCATCCATTTTCCATAGCTATCTTTATTTGCTCGATCCTGTTGTCCTGTTGTTTCTACGTCCATTCGTAGCTCCAACGGCAGGCATCGACTCCTGGAAAGCTCATCGGAGCCTTTGCGCTTCGTTCTGGCCTGGTGGCACGGGGAAACTCAAACCTGATCCAACAAGGGTTTATTACCCTCTGGTAATTTGTTACGTAGCTATGGAAAGATCTACAATTTTTCATGGGTAAATCCACTATTTCTATGGCCATTTTCAATAGCTATGTTAGTTTACCAGAGGGTAACTGGTTGGTGGTTTGGAACATTTGTTATTTTGCCATTGGGAATTTCATCATCCCAACTGACGAACTCATATTTTTCAGAGGGGTAGGTTGAAACCACCAACCAGTGATTGTTGGTGGTTATTAGTGATTGATGACTAAGTGATGGTTGACCCCGGTGACGTGATAACGTTGCTGGTTTATTGAGGGCTTAACGGCTTAACCACCAACAATCACTAATAAGTTACTTCACTAAGGGCAAATTAACGTTATCTTTTGGGGGGCGCCACATGACGCTACCTTTGGGGTGTTTTTTTACAAATCCCATGATTCAACTTTGTTGTTGAAGATAGAACAGAGTCATCACTGTGAAGAGATGTAGTAGCCCATATTGCTTCCTTTAATTGGTTTGTTGCGGTATGTTGTTCTTGAGTACTTTGCTGATTTTTTTGAGAAGATGCTAGTGCATATACCACACATACGGACACAACTACTTGGGATATTGGACCCCTAGATCAATTGGATTTGCATGAGACCAGCTCTCAACAACAAACGTCGCTGTTTTCCTAAGGCAGCATCCAAGCATGGGACTGGCAAAAAAAGTGGACTGCCAATTCTGTATGAAACCATCTCAATTCTTTGCGTTTTTTTTAAAATTTCCATCCGCACCCACAATTTGGACACATATTAAATATTTATATATATATAATATACAATATAATATAATTACAGTCTTTGAGGAACTTGGGAGGTCGGTTGACCATGAGCCCAGTACAAATGCGTTCGTATTCACAAAACGCAATCGAAGTCGATGGTGCCCTCCAGTGATAATTGTTGGTCATTTTTGTTGGTGAACCCACAAAAGAAACACGACCCCTACCCTAAGAAATTAATTGAGGTGGACCGTTCGTTCTCCAATTATTTGTTTGTTCAATTAATTTTGAACTGGGTTTTTTTTTTCGAGAACTCTATTTTTGGTGGATTAATTAACCACACCTTCCGAGGAAAAAAAAAAGTTAGGTGGGTGGGAAGGTGGCAGGAAAGTGCTGCCGAGCAAATTAATAGAGGTACCTTGAAGCAGTAAAAGACCCTTGGATTACCCTCTGGTTATTTAACATAGCCATGGTATAGATGGCCCATTTATAGATGGTTTACCTATTAAAAATGGTGGATCTTTCCATGGCTATAGCTGGGGGACCAACTCTGGGGACCCCTTAGGAGGGAGTCATAACAAAAGAACAACCAAAGGGTTCCATGTTTCATGCGGGTAAAGAATTTCATGTTTACCATCCCCAAGTCATCACCATCTTTTAATTAGTGGTATAAACTTACATAACTTACCATTCCCAGAAATTTGGCTGGTTTATGACATTGCTACCCACATTATTAATCCAAATCCCATTCATAAACTATAAATCACAATCTTTAATAGGTAAATCAATGGTTAGCTAACTAAATAAATGGTCAAATCACAATCTGTTGAAAATTAGCTAAGTTGGTTGGTTCAGTGGGTAAATCAACTATAAATGTGCCATTTTCAATAGCTAACATGAATCGTTCACCCACTGAACTAACCAACTTAGCTACCGGAAACCCCACCGAACTGAGCAGCACAGGCGGTAGCTCACTGGAACCACCCGGAGGCGCGCTGGGCATATCCGATATATTCGATCATGTCCTTCAGCGACCAAGAAAATGTGTCAGGTTCAATTTATCTCAATTTATAGCGATATTTCTAATTTGGTTATGTTTATATATATTATATATATATATATATACATCGATTCTATCTATGTGAGATTTGTTTGTGGTAACAAAATAAACCCTTTTCTTTTGTTTTTTTTGTGTGTGTGTGTTTTATCGTTTGGGAGGAGTTGCTGCAATCATATAGAAAATGGATTTTAGCCGCAATGATTGCACATGATGATGCAGTGGTATAGTATATGCATATACATATCTAAAATTATGTTTGCATATAATGCCACCCCCTAATATTAAACACCCCCCAAACGGTCCCAATGATGTGGAAATTCCCCATTAAACCATGGTTTCAATGGGAGTGTTTAATATTAGGGGGATGGGATTATATATATATATATTACATATATATATATAATACATATATATGAGATACGGTCAAAATGAGCGTATACTACTTTAGTAAGGGAGGGTCCAGTTGTGCTGAGCAAGTGCACGAAACCATGTAAAGCGATAGGGCCCCCCCAAAAAAGCGATAACCTGTAACCACATATAAGAGTGCACTAAACATGATGTTCACCAAGCAAATACCAGTGCCTGTGTTTCTTGTCCAAGGTGATTGAACTTCTGCTTTCTGCAGGCATTTTGCTTTTTTTCCCAGGTCCCAAAGCAGTAGCCTAAGTCCGAGCCTCTCATGTCCTGGCGTGTGGATGAGCGGATGAAGATGACCAGTGGCATTTGGTACAAGATATTTATCTTCCAGGAATGTGAAGGTGGTAAGTCAAGGTCTTTTCAAAGCAGAAGGCAGGCGGCCAAGTGGGCTGAGCTGAATGGCAAGCTCATGCCCCCGGAACTTGGAGGCTCCACGGCTAAGCAGGAGCGCCACTCTGCTGGCATTTCGTCATGAACAGCTCCTAATTTATTCCTGTGGCTTTGTCTTTTTTTATGTCCCTTGGGCCCCAAGTGAATGGGCCCCAAGCGAAAAACAGGAGCAGAAGATTCCTGAGAAGAATCATCTGCAATTGGTTGGAGCAGACCTTGCTGAGCAGGACTGGCTGCAAAGACTTCACTTAGTTTTCATTTTTCCCATGCACCTTGCGACAGCCAGCAAGGAGCCCAAGATCCTTGAGAAGAATCCTCCTGTGCCACTGGTTGGAACACGCCATGCTGAGCAGGACTGGCTGCAAGTAGTTCATTCAGGCGTCATTTTTCCTATGCGCCTTGCAAAAGCCAGCAAGGAGCCAAAAATCCTTGAGAAGAATCCTCCTGTGCCACTGGTTGGAACACGCCATGCTGAGCAGGACTAGCTGCAAGTAGCTCATTTAGCTTTCATTTTTTCCATGCATCTTGCAAAAGCCAGCAAGGAGCCGAAGATCCTTGAGAAGAATCCTCCTGAGCCTCTGGTTGGGGTAAGCCATGCTGAACAGGACTGCATGCAAGTAGTTCATCTAGCTTCGCTGGTTCCTCCCACAGCAGGAGCCGAAGATCCTTGAGAAGAATCCTTCTGTGCCACCGGTTGGAACAGGCCATGCTGAGCAGGACTGGCTGCAAGTAGTTCGTTTAGTTTTCATTCTTCCTATGCACCTTGCGAAAGCCAGCAAGGAGCCGAAGATCCTTGAGAAGAATCCTCCTGAGCCTCTGGTTGGGGTAAGCCATGCTGAACAGGACTGCATGCAAGTAGTTCATCTAGCTTCGTTGGTTCCTCCCAAGTGGTTTTTCCAGAAAGACAGCCAGGAGCGGAAGATCCTTGAGAAGAATCCTCCTGTGCCACCGGTTGGAACAGGCCATGCTGAGCAGGACTGGCTGCAAAGAATTCATTTAGTTTTCATTTTTCCCATGCACCTTGCGAAAGCCAGCAAGGAGCCCAAGATCCTTGAGAAGAATCCTCCTGTGCCACTGGTTGGAACACGCCATGCTGAGCAGGATTAGCTGCAAGTAGTTCATTTAGCTTCGTTGGTCCCTCCCAAGTGGGTTTTCCAGAAAGACAGCCATTGGATGGCTAAATAGCTGGTTCACAGGTGCCAAACTCAATGGTGCCAACATTAAGACATTGGATGAACTTGTGTCGCTGGTCCAATCGGAATCAAGCAAGCAACGTTCTTCCGATCCGGCTTCCCACATCCATGTCCTTCGTGATGAATCTGCAAAACCTCCTGCAGGAAAGCGTTTGTTGGCTACCGATCTACATATAACAAGGACGTACTGCATCGGTGCTACGCCAGCTGATCAGAAAATCTACCGGTACGGAGTCAAGGTCCGAAACTTCGTTTTCAGCACACAAACCGTAGGGACTGATTTGACTTCTTGCTTATACCATGAGGACACAGAAAGCAGTGGCGATTACAGGCGCGGCTTCTACGGAGCAGGAGAAGCCGCATGGAATACCAATCCAAAGACCTTGGCCCGAAACGAAGAAACAACGCTTACAAAGCGACAGCAAGCACAGCAACACATTCTTGATCGAAACGTGATGTTCTTGCGTCACAGAGCGCCACTAACGGAAGCGCAGCTGCAGCGAAAGCGTGCGGACTTCGAGGCAAAGCGCCAACGAAGGAAAGAGCGTCTCGCTGAGAGCAGCAATAGCTCATCTTCGAGCAGTGAGGAGGATTCGAACGCTGCAGACATCTCTGACTCCGACGGGAATTGAAAAAGGAAGTCCTGAGTGCGATTGGTTCATTGTGGTGCTTGTTCAGAATAGATTCCAGTATGGATCCAGAGTCATGATAAATCTATAGAACATGTAGATTTGTGCAAAACCATGGAAAGCGATAGGCCCCCCCAAAAAAAGCGATAACTTGTATTTTCCTACCAAGCATCAACAATTGATTTTGACGGCGCCTCATATATATATATATATATTACATAATATATTTTTATATATATAATATTCATGACACCGGTCAAAACTCAGTTGTTCTCATACATAGAGCTGTGGATTATCCTAGCCCATTCATCCGACTTGACAGCCCCTCCATGGATCCCTAAGGATCCATGCCCACTGTCTGAGAAGGTACTCCTGTCACCCCCTAGTCATCATACCTCAAGTACTTCCTAAGAAGGTACGGCTGGATCCATAGGGTATATATGTATAATTATGATCCCCGTGGCAATTTCCACTCTAGAACTGGTGAACGTGTGCATAGTTTAAACGAAATTCTTAATGTATTGGAATTTTAAAATTGATGTCAGGCTAGTCATTTTATTGTTGGGGGGTTGGGCTAAGCATTTTATTGTAAAGGTAAATCCTGATGATTTTTAACATGTTAAAATTCCATTCTCATTTTATTGCAAAAAAATGTTTGCTTGGAGCATTTTATTGCAGAATGGAACCAGTGTTTTTCCAGGATCTTTTTATATCGGTGTTATTGGGCATGTCATTTTAGATCAGCGAATTTTAAGGAATTTGAAGGAATTTTAAGGAATACTAAGGAATTTTAAAGGAATTATAAGGAATATTAAGGAAATTTAAAGGAATTATAAGGAAATTTAAGGAATTTAGAGAGTTTTAAGGAATTTTAAGGAACCTTAGAGGATTTTTAAGGAATTTAAAGGAATTTGAAGGAATTCGGAGGATTTTTAAGGATCTTTAATGTTTTTAAATTTTAAAGGATATTTAAGGTTTTTTAAGGATTTTTTCGAATTTTAAGGAATTTAAAGGATTTTTAAGTAATTTTAAGGAATTGCCACGAAAGAATGCCACCGTATTTTGTTGCTATAGAATGCTATTTAAAAAAACACACACTAAATATTTGGGCACCTTCACTCTAAAATACCCCTATCTAAAATGGATTTCCTGACCTCTTTTTAAAGATGCGTTTCTGAGGGTCTTCAAAATTGGATGAAATTGGATGATGTTGGATGCACATTCAAGCATGAATTTGGTGGCAAGGCATTTTATTGCAGAGCCAGTTTTCATTGTGTTTGTGCATTTTAAAGCCTGAGGCCTATGCACAAAAGTTAGACCGCTCTAAAACTCCTGCACAACTTCACATAATGAATTGGCACCCCGATTAATTATGTATATATGTATGTATCAATCACGGTGAAATTGGATGTTATTGGACTTATAGACCAGCTTGGCTAAGGAACTGGGGCACTAATTTGTTGGGAAGGGGCTGACAACAAGTCTACGGCTCCAGAGACATCCTTCGAGTGTCGCGATTGGAATGTACCCACAGGCATCAAGCCCCAGTCACACTTCCAGAAAGAATTCATAGGGCATATGACATCAAGTTGGTTAGTTCTGTAAGTTATATCCCATCATCCCCATTTAACTATGCCATTAAATCCCCAGTTGTCACTGGTGATTCACTCTACCAACACACAAAGCTAGTATGGTTAGAAGCCCCCAGTAATGGTTACTTATTAACATCTATTAAGTTCCTCAAAAAGCTAGTATGGTTATAAGCCCCCAGTAATGGTTATGAAAACATCTATTAAGTTCCTGATCTTGATACCTTCAATGTGAGGCCCCCAAGATATGTTTGTTGGTTTTTAAGCCCCAGTAACTATAGTTATAGATACCATAAACCATAGTTATTGGATTTATTTTCACCAACTTAGCTATCGAACGGGGGCCTCACATTGTTCCTATATAGTCCTTTAACGCTTTGCGGACTGCGTTAAGATTCAGACACGGCTCCAGGTGGAGGCCCTCAAGTCTTCTCCCTTTCTGAAGGGATCCTTGCTGGTGGACAAGGAGCAACAGGCGTCAAGTCGTTGGATCATGTCGGATCATCCCCCTTAGGTGTCCGCCGCATGATGACAGCTATTTATAGGTTATTGAATGATGATGATTGCCAGCTTTCAGCCATATCATGATTATTCATTATTTATATATATATATATATGTTGTCATAATAATGAGAATGACAATCATTACATGTAATATAATTATTGGTTACATAACCATTACATGTGATATAGTTTTTCATAATTATGATCCTATTTACATGATTATGATAACAAATTGAATGATTGATTCAACCAGATCACCAATTGCCAGCAGTTGTAAGAGATCTATGTTTGCAAGAGGCTTTCCAAGATTGGGCATGATATTAAGCTCGAATAAACTAGATCTATACCAGGTTTGAATATTGAAATATGTTGAAACTCGACCCCACAATATATCCCCAAAATTATGGTCTTAAGATGTCTTAAGCTAAGAAACTGGTGCCAGCCAGACAAACCAGGGTAGGATATCTATTTGTGTTGATGATTTTGTGTTAATTATATGTGCGATGTGATGATGAAGCTCCTTTCAGATGTTACGATGTTTCGACCTCAGTGACCAAACCGATGGGGCCATCAACATCACTGCTCAGATTGTCATGAGGGAAACCGTGGGTAGTTTGAAATCAGCCATGAATAGAACGATACATATAATATTGTATATAATATTATATATATATATGTATACAGTATACACATCTAATATATATAATGTAATCACATATTATATAGCTAACCAGCCATGTATATTTGATATTACATGATATTATTACTCCAGATTATAGACTACCAACCAACTATATCCATCTATATATTACTAGCCAACTTTCATGTTAAGACTGGCCATGCCATAGCTGGGAGGTTTGGATGGATGGCCCTGAGAAACGCCGGGCGCGCTCCGAAAACCTGCCGGAAATACGCGGAAACTTTGGGTTGAAATCGTCTGAAATACGACTGTAGTTAGTATTAGTGTAAAAGTATGGAAAAAGAACATGTCCGTGAATGTGCAGCCACTTTTTTGGGGGATCAATATAGCTGTATCTCCATCGATTCTATATCCATTATCTTGCATTCCATGTAGAATGTAGGGAAATTGTCCAGATGAAATGAAGACTCAACTTCTTTGGAACATGTCTAAGGTTAGCAGAAGCAGATTATGCAGAGCAAGCAATTTGATATCGTTTCACTAGTTGTGAATAAATGTGAATCACCCAGATGCTCCATGTATGGTATATGTACCTACAAAACTGGGTGATTTTTAGGGCAATTTTTGGTAAATATTCCATACATGGAGCATATGGGTAATAGAAACTCCATGTATATAAGGGTGTTTACGTGATTTCCAGAAAGAGCAAGAGGGACTATACAAATACTTGTACCGGAAATGTGTCCCAGAGATCAGTGAATGCCCAAATAGACCAGAAGCGGATTTATCAGACGTTTGTCAAATGGGTGAATGATACGGAAAAGATCCACAAGAAAAGACCTGGGTGTCAAGTTGCCATTGAAGCGGCAGAGGGTTGCCATGGAGGATTCTGCACCTGGGCATGTGAGATGTTCCGCCCAAAAAAAACGATCCCAATGGCTTGACAGATGCTCCTAAATGAACTAAGAACGTCTTGTTTGTTTCAGGAAATAGATGAACAGAAGAGGAATTTTTCAAGGTTTAAATCCTAGGTTTGGGATGGTTCTGCAACTGAAACTAGCCCATAAGGTACGAGCTTCTCCACAAACATGGCATATATTGGCATATATAATCATACTAGGAAATTCCATGAAATTCCAGAGTTCGTGGATAAAATCATGATAAACCATTGATATGGCTAAATTATAACGACCTCACTGCGACCTCACTGGAAATCATGGTTAGTAAGGGGAATCATCCCAAAATGGCCTTAGTAGTGAAAAATTATAATTTACCCAGATTGAAAAACCATTGGGTCTTTCAGGTGTCCATTTTGCACGGAAAGGCTCCTGTAGAGCTTCTCTTGTTGGTCCTTCAGAACGATGCCGCAGAGCCTGTGTCGCTGGGGGCCTCAGGATCCCAAGTCCGAAGGGCGAAGAAACTCCCGCATGGGCTGTACAAAAGTATAACTCATCAAAGTGGGGATGTGGCCGTCCAAAACAAAGATATCTCCCCAAGACTTAGCTGCCACTAATTTCTGGGTAAACCGTTTAGCAAATGGTTTTCATATTTTTCATGAGTTGTGCTTCACAATTATTATGGAGAGATTTCCATATTAATCCATATATTCTGGTTGGTGGTTTGGAACATGTTTTATTTTCCCATATATTGGGAATTTCATCATCCCAGCTGACGAACTCATATTTTTCAGAGGGGTAGGTTGAAACCACCAACCAGATGCCATTAAAATTCCCATTAGATCCTATTAAACCACCATTAAATGCCATTAAAATGACGCATTTCAAATGCAGAAATCAACTCGTTTTTTTGGGGGAAACGAGGGCAGTTGGGCACCAGGGATCCATGGTCCCTAAACCAATCCGCTGAGGCCGGAACAGTTGGAACGGCCAGGGAGCTAAGGAATGCGCTTTGGTGGGCTGGAAACCACAGGAATCCACACTGAAAATAACGAGCTTTGAACATTGGAATCATTGGATACCATCTGGTTATGACTAACATAGCCATGGTTAAGCCATGGCCCTAATCGAAATAGATGGTGACTACCGAACTTAAAAATGGTGGATCTTTCCATGGCTATGTTAGTTTAACGGAGCGTAAATGATCTGACTTGAGTTGTACATGATGTACATGTGAATGTTCACGCTTTCAGATTTCAAGAAAAGGCAAGGAACATGAAGACGAGCCACATTTCCCATCACGCTGTATTACGTGATGGTTGGCCTTACACTAAACGCATCGTTACAGAACAGAGAAACTTTCATGGAATAGTCCTAAACTGGTTGGTGGTTTCGAACATTTTTTATTTTCCATAATATATATGGGATGTCATCCTTCCCATTGACTTTCATATTGTTCAAGATGGTTATTGCACCACCAACCAGTAAAGTATGTCCCAAGTATGTCCAATAACTTGGTAAGTTTCAATTCTAATACCCTCTTGGTTATTTAACATAACCATGGTATAGATGGCCCATAGAAATAGATGGTTTACCGAACTTAAAAATGGTGATGGCTTCCATGGTTTCCCGTTGCCAAAACATGTGTCGTCTCACTGGCGATGTTTTTTGCGCAGCTGGATGAGTTGGTTTGTAACTGGAAATAACTTGAAACACTGGGTTTATGGTGATTATAATTCCTCTAAAAGGGGGTTTCAATCTCTGGGTCTGGAAGTGATGCATAGTTTTTTGCTGTGATTATAATTTATAGTCTAGTAGAGTCTAGTTAAATGATTTAAATGTGTTGTTTGGTACTATGGAGTTTTGCATCATTTGGCATCATTTTGCTATGTTTTCATATGTTTTCCATTTAACTATGGTTCCAATCACCAGTTAAAATAGCATAACAACTTATTTTTGTTTTGCCAGTTTAGTGTGTTTTTCCTAAGCAGCTGAACACACATACACACACACACACATTTTTTTTAAACAACATGTTTGTTGCAGGCTTTGGCACTACTAGTTTTTCTTTTTTTGAAACGAGTTCTGTGTGGTGGAAAAGTTTCTGCCAATTTATGCACGATAAAGATATTGTCCAAAATATACAAAGCTTGTATACATATACGTACATGTGTATGTATATATATACATATAGTATATGAATGTACATGACATGTATATATGTATACGTACATTAAATATATATATATTATATTTACAGATATAATTATATATATATAGATACATATATATATACATATATATATATATTTAATTATATATATATAATGTATACACACGTACACTATTTATTGCAGTGTGTCATTTTCCACCCATTTCTGTCCGACATCCCACTCAGGTTGAGGCAAAGTTGCAGCGGCGAGGCCAGGCCATGCCATTTTTCGTGGATCCATGGCGACAATCTGAAAATCGTTTATCCATTAGGATACCATAGTAATACCTGATTGGTGGTTTGGAACTTTGGAACATTTTTTATTTTCCATAGTATATGGGAATTTCATCATCCCAACTGACGAAGTCATATTTTTCAGAGGGGTAGGTATACCACCAACCAGATACTATATTTTGAAAATTCAGAAAATATTTTGGAAATTATGGATCTAATCCTGTAGGGATCTTTAGGGTACTCTTACTGAATACAAAGATATATGTATGTATATATATATATACATACAAAGTAAAGATCTAAATCCTATGTTATATATGTAATTCCTTAATTTCCTCAAAACCCATAGATCCCTCAACCCACATTAGGATACTTTAGGGTCTTCTTTGTACTGAATACAAAGTAAAGATCTAAATCCTAGGCAGGTTGAACCTTGGTCCACTGCAGAATACCCGATGTGTGGATTCCATGTCGAATTTTGGCGATTTTTTGTAGCAATCACGATTGGATGTTGCGCCGGGTAAGCAGTTGCAATTAGTAAATCATGTGTAAGAGGTAAGGATATAAGGCAAGTTATACAACCACAATAAGTTTAAGCATGGCCAGACATAGTTGGTACATACCAGCTAGATAGAGCTTACAACCATGTTTGGCTGGATGAAGTAAGTAAGTTTGAGTCATGTTGACTGAAATTACCTGAAGATAATATGACTCATGTCTGTTGCAGCATGTGTGTGTGTATGTTTGTCATGCTGTGTACATATTAATATATATATATATATGTACATTATATATATATTATATTATAGACTATATCTACAGTAACACAATGTACTAGATGTGTTTCTACATCAGATATATTAGACATCTATATATCTACACGGCTTTATAGATGTGATGTGTTTCTGTGCTCGGTCACCATCGGTGCCTAAAAGTGTCCCAGAAAATTGGATGAGGTCAGACCGTTGGTGAATACCTTGAAACTTCATGAAACTTCTATCCTCTGGTTATGACTGTTACATAGCCATGGTACAGATGGCCCTAATCGAAATAGATGGTTTACCGTTCTTAAACATGGTGGATCTTTCCATGGCGAACTGTAGGTTTTTGTGTCACTTGGAGCCAGTTGATGAAGCCATCCTTGAGTCCCTTCCAGGCAAAGCCTTTGGGACCACGCAAAAGGCGGATCATGACTGGGCTATGACAACTGGGTAAGTTTTAACTCGAGGAAGTAATGAGTAATGTAAACAATTCCCAAATGTGCCATGGCTGGTAGTATAAACCATCCAAGGTAGGTTTATGGCCTTGACTTGCCCAAGATATTCCCAGTTAAATTATGATCGCCAGTATACATAGCTGGTTGGTGGTTTCAAACATTGTTTTTATTTTCCATATTACATGGGATAATCCTTCCCATTGACTTTCATATTTTCCAAGATGGTTATTGCACCACCAACCAGATAGGCTTTTGACGCCCTGTAATATGCTGTTGACTTTCGATCGAGGGCGCCCCAAATTGGATGGCGCCTTGGGCCATTTTGAAGCAGCATCAGCTCAGATGTTTCCAAGTCATGGGTATATAACACATGAATGGATATACACGTATATGTGTATATATATATATGTATATATATATACATATTGTGAAAGTTAAAAACACACCAAAACATCAAAATTGACAACAACCAATCCAAAACTCTTATCCCAACCTTCCGCAATCTGTTATATGCATCATGTATACACATTTATTATCATTTGTTTACATTTAGATACATTTATAACTATACGTCCAAACCGAATCGGTTTATTTGCAGAAGAAAGGAGAAGACATGGGCTGGTAAGGTTTGTAATTTTGGAACATCCCCTGGTACCGTTGGTACCGTGGAATTCACACAGGAGACGATGTTTCTGTATATTTCTGTGCCCATCTCTGTGTTTGATTGTGGCGTTTGTTGGAGGGTAAATTTGGCACTTCAGTCGACATTTCAATAGGGTTCTTCCCCATTCTATTCTACCCTCTGCTAATTTAACATAGCTATTGAAAATTGCCATTTATAGTGAGTTTTCCCATTAAAAATTGTGATTTTCCATAGTTATGTTAGTTTACCAGAGGGTACCCGTTCTACCCCAAAAAAAATACACTGATGAGGAAGGACCAACTTACCAACATTTACCAACTTCCGATGCTCCACTCACACGACTGCAGAGGCCTTTGCAGCCTGAGACAAAGATGGAGGTTGGGGGGCTACTTATTTGCTTCCGGTCGAAGGTACCAAGAGAATGAACATGAAAAAACAATAGAAAACTATATAGATAGAAACCTAGAAACCATTAGAAACCTCGATTTCTGGGGAACCTCACCCCTGGGGAACCTCATATCGATTTTAAGAAAATTACACCAACTACCTCCTGAGACACTATGTGTTGGGAAAACTTGAGGCTTCGCTATTTGGAGCACAAGGGTATCATAGTTTAATATATTTTAATAATTTTAATAACTATCATAGATTATCATAGTTCAATGTCTATCCATACTATGTTTCCATAATTCTGCGTCCATAAAATTAGCCCTTCTTTTTGCAACTCTCACGGCAGCGCCCCCAGGTTGCTGCAACAAGTCGCGAAGACTTAGGACGCGCTTCTGGTCGTTTCGTAGTGTCAGGTTGTTAGGTCCTGTTAGGTGGTTTCAAACCGGGGGAAACCCCAAAATCCAAAATCACAGCTACTTTTTGCCATATGTGTTCCCCGTAGTCAAACGTGGCAATGGGAAATCCCCTGTAAAATCATTTGTAAATGGTGGATTTTCCAGCTAGTAACGTGTGACTGCCACAGGATTGGCAAAATAACCATGATAATCCATTATAGTGTAAAAAAAGCTTGTTTTTCTTCTCCGAGGTACCCTTAACTTTGAAACAACAGTGAGCTGTGCTTCCTGGAAGCATGACTTGGGTGAATCCACAAGGGCTGTCCTGCACGGAAGTGAAAGTCTCACGATGGGGAACTGTTTTGTTTGAATTAAACTATGTGTGCATCAAGCTATTGGACATGAACAGAACAAATATAGTTCTAATCTTGAATGGTTTCTGCTTTCAGTATGTTTCAGACCTATGTGTGTTATGTTTTTTTCTACCTCCTATCGGGGATGCTGAAGCTCAATTGGCTGTGGCTTTCACTACCAAATTTGACTGCCAGCCTCCTAGATGGTCCCACATTTGTTGTGTCATCCCTTATAAAAGCATGGTTTTCTTGCAGGGGTGTGTTTGCCGTATTTTACAGCAATATTAGGGGGGTAGGATCAACATGTTTTACCCTCCAGTAATCAAACATGGCAATGAACAAGTCATCACTTGTAGTGGTTTTCCCTATTTTCAAGGTCCATTTGTAAAGGATGTTCCATTGCCGACCCTTGATTTTCAGAAGTTTTTTTTGGGGGAGGATAGGTTCAATCCACCAGACCTCGCCGACAGGCTCCGAGCCTGGAACGAAGCGGCCGCGGCCCGGGGGGGTGCTGTGGCGAAAGCCACACTGGAAAAGGGTGAAGCTGAAACGTCCGGAGGACCCAGGAAGGTTGGCTGAGTCGGCTACCCGCCCTAGGAGTTTTTCTTGTGACCCTCAACTTTTCGGTCAGCACATGTTTCTTTCATTGCCAAAGGCCAGAAAACAAACATACTTGTGAGGGCGAGTTTCAGGTGTCTGACATGTTTGCTGTTTAGTGACTTATGCCACTTGATACCGAAGGTGACTTGCCCAGAAAATGTTGACCACCATCAACCCTGAGCGGTTGAAGATTTGGGAGTCATGACGCAGCAGCTTCACCCGTCTCGTTTTCTCCAGACTTCATGGCGACCTGTGATTTGCTGGGAGCTGGTGAAATCACGGATTTTTTGTTCTCTTCTGTGGCTGTGTTTTGTCCCTCCATTGTCTTATTTTGATCCATTTTGGCTCGACTTATAGTCTTCATAGTCTTCATAGTCTTCATAGTCTTAACATTTAACAGATTTTAATAGTCTGAATAGCTGGAAAATAGCCTGTCTTATATCAACTTCTATCGTTCTCCGGTGCAGAGGTTTGACCTGCTGGCGGCGGCTGCATGATGCCGCCAAGTCCTTCGCGTGGACCACGCACGTCACGGCCGGAAAACCGCGGGATGGCCGGAAAACCGCAGCTCACCTTGGTGGATCCGAAAGATTTCTGGGATGAAGATCCATTTGCCAAAGATAGTGATTATAATGGATAATAATGATTATAATAGTGGCTATAATAATAGTGATTATAATAGTAGTGATTGTTATAGTATTAGTAATAGTATGAAATAATAGTGATTATAATAATAACCCACATGCTCCATGTATGGTATATTTACCTACATTTGGGTAATAGTGATTATACAATGTGAGACCCCCAAGATATGTTTGTTGGTTTAGATTCGCCCCAGTAACTATGGCTATAAATACCATAAAGCATAGTTATTGGAGTTATGTCCACCAACTTAGCTATCTTGGGGGGCTCACATTATAATAGTGATTATAATAATGGCAAATGGATGTTCATCCCAGTAATCTATGGTGATTAGTGTAGTATTACTGATTAACAATATCACTATTACTGATTATAACAATAGTCACCAAGTAATAGTGAATATAATAATAGTCACCAAATAATAGTGATTATATATATTAATAGTCACCACATAATAGTGATTATAATAGTAGTGATTATAATATTGATTATAATGATGGTACTACTTGGTGATCCATTTGCCAATATTTACTGGTTGGTGGTTTCAAACATGAATTTTATTTTCCCCAATAGTTAGGATGATGATCCAATCTGACTAATATTTTTCAGGGTGGGTAGGCATACCACCAACTAGTACCTGGTTGGTGAGTATTTTTCTGACATGACTCAACAGTGATTACAATAATAGTCACCAAATAGTCACCAACTATCCATATAGTTATTTGGGTATCTGGTTGGTGATTTGGAACATGAATGGATTATTTGTTCCATATACTGGGAATTTCATGATCCCAACTGACTTTCACTCTGATTTTTCAGAGGGGTAGGTATACCACCAGCCAAATTTACCAATATTTACCATCTATATCCCAGATGCTCTTCCTGGTGATCATTGGTGCTGGAATATGTAAACATCAGTTTACCAGAAATGACCCAGTCATGTAAATATTCCAGCACCATGAAGAGCATCTGGGTATTGGGTTCATTAGGCTACCAGGCTTTTGACCCATACCCATATCTGAAAACTCTATCTGAAATCTTTGGGGAATCGAATTGGTCATTTAATTTGCTTAAATCTTTTGGTAGTATCTTAAATGAATTGAAACCAACAGGTTACGCGATGATCAAACTCTATGTGTCTAAAGATATGGCTCTATAGTAGAATCCCAAATAATCCCTTTCCCCTGCAGTTCCATTATTAAACTCAAATGGCCCCACATTCGACAGATTCGATATATGATATATATATATGGAGGTTTCTTAAAATGCTGGGATTCCTGAAGCATCCTAAAACCATGTGTTTCAATCGTCAAAAAATGGTCATCCATGACTTGGATTCACCATGGTTTCACCAGGATGGCTGGCATGCGCGCAACATGCGCTTCTGGGCCAAGGACATGGCTGTTGTCATGTCTGAAATGATCGGTATCCCGAACTTATGATGAGGGCATTTATTCTGGGAATCGGCAGAAATAAACGCCTAGAGGCAAGTTAGGCACTTTTTTCTGTCTAGAGGAGTTTGTAGGTATAGAAATACCATTAACAATTGGGGACTTAATGGGATATTGATTGGGATATCATGGAAGATGTAGCCAACAATGGAGATATGGGATATCATTGGTACATGAGATCTCATCCCGAATCGTCTTATTGAATATTATAGTTGTTAGATGTGTTTGGATAAAATGTAACAACCCTGGTGATTAGTACTATAGTATATATGCTTATAAAAGGGAAAGCGTCCCCGAAATGAGTTCGTTTCGAGTTGGGAAAGTCCAATCATCGCTTGGAAGTTGCAAGTCCGCAAGAATTCCTGGGAAAGAAATACCCTTTGGTAGCTATTGAACATGGCCATAGAAATAGTTGATTTCCCCATGAAACACGGTGATTTTCCAGCTATGTAAACGTTTACCTGGTACAGGACAGCCCCGTAGATTTTCCCACCGGATCGCCAGGAAGCCGCTACATTAGATGGGATGACTGGAGGTGGGAAAATCCATCGATAGCTTTATCCAAATATGGAGTATACACAACAAATGCCAGTTTTCCCGAATGCGTAGCAAGGGTTCCCGTTTCACTCGTTCTGGGGGTTGAGGGTGTGTTCGCTCAACGTCGCGTTTATGGTCGCAACCGTCCGCAACCATTCGCGGGCGGTCGCGTGAGGCCCGTATTGCCGTCCCTATGGCGAGTTCTGCAAAAGTGGTCACTTTTGGAGGTTTCCAGTGCCGGGTAGCCTTGTTTCGCATATCATGCGTGGCACTTCGTGCCTGTCCAAAACCTCTGCTCTTTGATTGTGATAGTTTGGTTTTTGAAAATGATATATAGTTTCATTTTGGCAGAAAAAATGTAGTAATCTTTTTTTGCTTTTCAATTTGGGGATGGTTTTCCAACATGTTTCTTTTCATTTTCTAGGGATAAGTTTTCATGCTAAAATTGAAACCTGGAGGGGGGGGGCGGGTCAGAACCAAAAAAACATCCTGTAATTCAAACAGCAAGTATCATGATTACTGAACCAAACAAAACACATACGCACAGTTGTCATGCTTTAATTGAAACCTGGAGGGGGGGCAGGTCAGAACAAAAAACATGATGCAATTCAAACAACAAGTTTCATGATTACTGAACCAAACACACACATACACACAGTTTTCATGCTTAAATTGAAACCAGGAGGGGGGGCAGGTCAGAACAAAAAACATGTTGTAATTCAAACAACAAGTTTCATGATTACTGAACCAAACACAAACATACACACACACAGACTGCCAATGACCACCAAGTATCATGAACATATAAATACATATATTTATGTATATATATATATATAATCAAGGGCCATGCACATATGATACCAATATAATGTCACCAAGAGTCATAAAATCATAAAATACCATCCAGTGTCCCCCAGTTGTCATCCACTTGTGATACCACCATGCACACATGTCATGAACATATATATGATACCATTAATTTGTCCCTGCAGGTTTCCTGGACAGGTGATGCCGTTGCAGCAGCTTTCAGCTGGGGATGGGACAGGATTGAGCCTGCTGCAACTCATCTGAATCGGGTTTTGGCTTCAACAAAACTTGGCAGTGTCATTCTTTTTGATCTTGGCAGTGTCATTCTTTTTGATCTATTTGGATCTATTTCATTCTTTTTGTGTCAAGGCAGTGGCACCGGGACCAGTGGTACATGGAGATCAACCACCACCACCTCCACAACCACCAGCATCACTAGTACCACCTCAACCACCTCAACCACCAGCACCACTTCATCACTGCGACCAGCTCAACCACCAACACCACCACCACCATCACTACGACCACCTCGACCACCACCACCAGCACAACGAACACCTCAACCACCACAACCACCACAACCACCAGTGCAACCAGCTCCACCACCACCACCACCACCACCACAACCAACACCACCAGCACCATTATACACGGCCAACATCAAAGGCACAAGCAGCAGCAGCACCCGATGTGGCAGGGCCGGGGGCGCCCGATCTTGTTGAACCAGAAGCACCCGATCCTGTTGAACCAGCAGCACCTGAACCAGCAGCAGAAGCTGAGCCTGGAGATGACAACCAAGACTAATTGTCATTGAGGTTTTATTTTGTGCATCATTTGATTCTTGCCAAACACACCCATGACAGCCTTTGACTAAAACCAGCTCTTGCGAGGAGGGTGAAGATGATGATCAGCTCACGGCGACGGAAGTTGCTGAGGAGGACCTTTTGTTGTGCTCTGTTCAGACACTGTTGTTTTGCGTTCTTCGGAATTTCGTAGTTCAGGTATGGAGCCATGTTCATTCTGCTGTTGACCAGGAAGAGATTCCAACGATCGATGACAATCCCACCATGGATGATCCAATGGAGGAAGCTCCCACGATCGTGCCGGAGGTGCCGTTGTTGATTCTTGTGTTGATTCTGCACTGTTGGTAGCGCTACACATCATGTTTCTCTTGATGTTTCTCTTGACTTCGACAGGATCTGAAGAAGGATGCAGCCGTCAAGGTCGCTGCAAAGGCAATGCCGCGTCCAACGAAGGCAGAAACATAGAATTGTGAGCATGGAGTGACACCATAAACATGAGAACATCATTCATGGAATCGTTCTATTTTTGCTGGACAGGATCCGACAGCTGCGGCATCATCATCCTCCAGTCGCAGGGCCAAGGAGACGTGGCAAATATGTCTTCTTATTTGTCCGTGTTGTTGCAGCATTGTTGCATTGATGTTAACTTGTAAGTTTTGTTGGGTGCAATTTTGACATTCTTCTCAGGAGGTTCGCATGGGCGACATCGTGTACCAACGCCATGTCGGACGTGGGGTGACGGAGGAGGACAAGCCGTATCTTGGCTGACATTGTTCAATGTCATGTGCACTTTTTCACTTGACAGTTTCAATTCAAGTTGCATTTTTCCTTGCACACAAGCAAGCATGAGGTCCTACATGCCTTTGATCGAGGGCAGCAGAGGCATCTGGGTGAGCGGCTACTTCGCATAATGTGCTGCCAGGCATCAGAGCAACCAGACTGCACCTGGATGCTTCATGTTTTTTTGTTCAACATGTCCCCTGGCAATTCTTCATCAGTCTTGTTCTTCTTAGGCACCATGCGGAGTGCAGAAAGGAGGCGCAGCAGATCGGTGCCGAGATCATCTTCTTCAATCCTGGCTACAAGAGCCAACAGATGGAGCGGATCCTTGTCTTAGAAGTAGCATGCAGACATTTGTGATGTTGTTGAATTTGTCACACACTTACTTCAGACATCTTGAAGACATTGCAGTGATGTTGTCTGTCACATTTACTTCATCTGGACCACTCCAGAATGCGAGATCTCGAACACCGGGTGCTGCACGGCGGACACGATCTGGTGTGGGTTCACTGCAATTCTGGTGTCCATCGAGCTCCACAGGTGGCAGGCTTCCTGAGGTCCCGAGCCACCGGATGCAGCTACTTCACCGCGGATACTTGGATGAATTAATTTCAAAATTCTAAAGTTTGCATTGCATTGTTGCACATTCAGAAGTTTTCTTTTTGCAACAACATGCATGCAATGACAACAGTCTGAGAGACAGCAATCAGACAATAACTTGAGAGCAACTAAGAAGAATCAGATCATGCAGAACTTCCGCCCGTGTGCGGAGTTTGACCGAGATTCTGAGTGACTTGGCTTGCATGTAGCCCTCCATGCCAACCCTGACACACACACACATGTCTGTGCCTTTGTCAAATTGCTACTACCCACCTGACCTGCAAAAGCAACCCAGGTGGAGTAAAGCCATCGAGGAGTTCGCAGACAGAGAAGACAAGGCGTCAAAAGGTGACAACGCCCAAATTCCGTGGCAAGCGATGCATTTTGTGACATGCAATGGCACTCCACACTTTACTACACTCCACCCTGCGCACTTTACAATCTAAACTCTACACTCTACACCTCACACACTTCACACACTTCACACACTTCACACACTTAACACACTTCACACACTTCACACACTTCACACACTACACTCCACACTCTACACTTTACACTCTACACTTTACACTCTACATTTTACACTTTATACGCTTTACACGCTTTACACTCCACACTTTGCACTTTACACTTACAATCTAAGCTCAACACACTACACTCTACATTTCACACTTCACACTTCACACTTTACACTTTACACTCCACTCTACACTCCACAATATACACTTCACACTGCGCTCTACACTCTGCACTTTACACTTCACACTTTACACTCTACACTCCACACGCTACACTCCACACTTTAAACTTACACTCTACACTCTACACTCCACACACTGCACTCCACACTTTACACTTCACATTTTACACTTCACAAGTTTTACACTCTACACTTTACACTCTACACGCTCTACACACCACACTCTACACTCCACACTCCACACTTTACACTTCACACTTTACACTCCACACTGTGTACATTACACTCCACACTTCACACTTTACACGTTACACTTCACACATTACATTCTATACTTTACACTCCGCACTCCACACTTCACACTGCACTCTACACTCTACACTTTACACTCCACACTTTGCACTCCACAGTCCACACTGTACACCTTACACTTCACACTTTACACTCCACACTGTGCACTCCATACTTAACACTCCACACTTTTCACTTTGCACCACTCGACACTTTACACTTTACACTCCACACTCTACACTTTACACTTTACACTCCGCACTTTACACTCCACACTCTACACTTTACACTCTGAACTCCACACTTTACACGTTACACTCCACACTTCGTACTTCACACTTTACACTCCGCACTTTACAACCTACACTTTACACTCTACACTCCACACTCCACACTTTACACTTTACACTCTACACTACACTTTACACTCTACACTTTACACTTCACACTTTACTCTCCACACTGTACACTCCACACTTTACACTCCACACTTTACACTTTAAACTCTACACCTTACACTTTACGCTTTACACTCCACACTCTACACTTTACACTCCACACTCTACACTCTGCACTTTACGCTCCACACTTTACACTCCCCACTCTACACTTTAGAGTTTTCACTTTACACTTTGCACTCCACACTCTACACTTCAGACTTTCCACCCCACACTTTTCACTTTACACTTCACAGTCCACAATCACCACGTGACACTCTACGCACTACATTCCCCACTCAGCACTTCAATTCGTTCACTCTCCATACTTCGCACTCCAGCCTCTTCGAGATTCCACTACAGTGCACTGGTATGGTAACAGGGGAAAAAAGTACAAAACTGTTCAAATAATTTGTTTCACAAAAGTGTTTTACGTGACTGCATTCGGATTCGTGGGCTTCATCTTTTTTTCATGAGACAATCATGTTGATAGATGAGATTTGTCTCATTGAAGAATGATGAGAGATCATGGGAATTGACCATCAAACATAAGCTTATTCACCAGCGATGGTGGGGATATCTATTCCAAAAATGCCGGATAGAAATGGATAGAAAATAGATACCTACCCTGAATTTGTGATTTTGATTATCAACATGACCAGGATGAACAAAAAATGATGTGTGCTTAATTTTCAGGCACATTAACATGTTCGTTGCAAACCCCTAGGTTTGCCCACGGCGAATCCCGCATATCCGTTGACATGCTAAAATCCTTGTGTAGTGTTTATTTCTTTTACTTTCCAAAGCAACAAACCCTAAAACCACAAAACCTAAAACCCTAAACCCTAAATCAAGTCCTGAAAGTTTAAAGTCAAAATCATTGCGTATAGCCAGTGTTTTCATTCATCCTCTGGTGATAAGTATATCATATTGTTTGGATGTGTTGTTTGAGTCTGGGCGAACCCGGGGTTTGGAGGGAACATGTTTCATTGGAATATCATGTTTGAACAGATGTAAGTTCAAGTACGGAAAACACGAGGTTGCCAGAAGGGGTAGCATCCAAACAACGAAGCCAAAAGTGATGCTGGGAAATGGCCAGATGTGGCTGGTCTGGTGGGGGGTTCCTAAAGTTAGGACCTTCGGTGCATGTTTGGTTATTTTCAGTCACTAAGAGGGACATGTTCATGTGGAAACAAAACCAATATGAATCAGAAATTTGGTGGGTGCTTCATTCTTTCCATCCCACTTCAGGTGTTGGTCAAATCCCAATGTTTCTCCATTTTTGGACCAACCGTTTTTTTCCGAGGGGCCCATTGAACCCTTGTCCCTTGTACCAATCGTGGTGTTTCCTGGTGACAGGTGGAGTCTCTGACTTGGACTTGGCCTTCAATCAGAAATTTCTGAGGCAGCTGGGGTAGGTGAAGCACCAGATATGATATGTGTAATATATTAATACCTGGTACCCCCTGAGAGTTGATATTTCCACTTCAATTTCTCAATTGCTCACTTGAAAACAACTCCCGAACGGTTATTTGTACTCCTGAACGTTTTTTTCCGCTCCTGAACGCGCTCGAACGCTTTTCGAACACTTTTCAAACGTTTTTTGAACGTGTTTGTTTACTTTTGAACGTCCGAACTGTCCGCGAACGGTAAAAAACACTCTGGTGTGTTTTTTCCAACACCATGTCGCAAAGTTGTTGTTTTTAGTTTTGGTGTTGATATTTCCACTTTCAGGAAGGACCGGGTATATGTTTACAGAGTCTTTTAATATCAATTAATACACATATAATGTACATGCAATGTGATATGTATAATACATATAAATATAATTATGTAAATATTATTACGTATATTCATATATATATTATATACACATATATACATATACATATACATATATAACATATAACATATAACATATAACATATAACATATACATATACATATACATATACATATACACATACATATACATATACACATACACATACAGATACATATACATATACATATTATATTATATTTCACTATATTATATTATATTATATTATATTATATCATTTGATATTTTTTTTGTTATGTTACATCATACCATATCATATTATATTATATTATATCATATCATATCATAGTATATTATACTACGCTATACTATACTATATTATATTTAAATATAATATTGACAATGCTGTATATATACATGACTTTAGAAACTTGGGAAATGGGAGTTGAAGTATGACTACAGCGCTGATTTAAGCCTTCACTGATGATTGGTAAACCAACTGCTAAATAAGATGTCAAAAACACTCACGTTTCTTTTGTTTAGTTTTTGTGATGGGGAATGTTTCATTGACTTGCTTGCATGTATCCAAGATTATATGGACACCGAAGCCGGGTCAGTCAGATTGCCAGGTTGGTTTAATACGGTCCGCAATTTGAGTTTTGGCAAGGATTGGCCGTTTCAATGGTTAATGCCTCTGAGAAATAACATGTTGACCGGTAGCCATAAACATATACGTATACATACGTGTGTAGAATATATATATATACATATATATATATGTATATATTATATATATACACATTTATATTTATATGTATAACCCAACATCAGATTCCAGAGTTCCATTCCGGCTTTCAGGGCCAACTCTTACAACGGCGCACCACTCCGAGACTCCCAGACCCAAGGATTTTTCAACCCAACAGTCAATGCGTTTCAACGCATGGAAAATGTGGGATAGATTCAATCACTGAAGGTGCATTTCAGAAAGCAATGGGTTATCGATCTCCAAGGTTTTCGCATTTCCTGTGGAACAAAACAATTTTCTCCAGTTCAAGTATTGTTTCTGGTTTCGCTTTATTTTTCCATATTTTTCCATTGCGAGCTGACTAGTTGACTAATTAGTCTGTGGGGATACAGTGGGTTTTGAATTCACCACCAGATGCTGCATGGGTTTGGTATGTTTATCATCCATGGCCGAGGGGAACGAATTGGTTGTGAAAAGAGACTTCCCTAGCTGACATGTCAGTGTGAGTCAAAACTCAACAAAGAAGATTCTGGTCATATTAAACCATTGGAAAACCATTCCATTCCGAGTTAAATCTCCTAAACCTATTTTAAACCTCACTTTTCTTGAATCCGGTTGAGCTGCTTGAAGCGGCCCGTTCTCCAGGACCTAAAATTGGTTGTTCATGTTTGTTCAAAAGAAGGAACCCCCCAAGTCCCAAGTCCAGTTCTTGTCCTCATTAAACTGGTCACAAATTCATCCCCTATGTTTTGGCAAACCCACAAATGACTTTGATTGTGGCTGGTTCTATCATGTTCTACCCCAGTATTGCTGGTGAATATCAACTTGTTTCATGTTCAAAATACTCATCTCAATTTTTTATTGGTTAAGTTTCTAGTTGTGCTGATGTTTGCATCCCCAGATATGGACAAACCCAAGAAATTATGTTTTTCCTTTAGCAAAGACACAGTCGTTCAATTGTGTTGATACTTAGACACACACTTTTTGTAATGTCCATTTCCATCCTCCAAAATTTCTTGGCAAACTATTGACCCCATCAACACTTCACGTGCGGCAGGCGCTTGTGCCGCGCACGAGGCAATGCCAAAGGTCGTTTTGCCAGCGCCCTGGATGTAGGTGCTGGGATTGGTGCGGCTACTCAGTCGAATGAGTTCGCTGGAAATGATAGGGACTACATGGGAGTATGGGAGGGGTCAAGCATATTGGACAAATATTGGGGCATGTTCATGTTCAGTTAGTGCCTAGTGAACGCGAGATTTGACCCCTCTTTGCAAGGAGAAGTCTACTCCCCTTCAGTCCACTATACTCTCCATACGTTCCTCTGGGCTCCGCTACTGTACTACACACTACTCCGCTTTACTCTACTTTACTGTACTTTCCTCTACTATATTCTACTCCTACTCTACTCCACTCTATTCAGCCAGTGGACTGAAGGCTTCCGAGATGCTTCTCTACTTTCCACTCATAAACCACTTATCACTTATACTTATCTCACTTATAACTTACTGTATATCATATCTCCACCACTTAAAGCTTATATCTCCATTACATCCTCATTATATCCCACTGATATCCCCATTAATCATTAAAACAACGGTATATCCCAATTACATGGCCACAAGGTCGACTAGCTCAGCACTTGCTACTTCCCCACTGCGATGCTGTGGACTTGTTCCTCGGCTGGGAAATCCACCGATCCGATGGCTGGGGGGCAACTGGGAAAACACATCAGAAATGGTGGGAGAACAATCGATTTACCATCTGGTTATGACTAACAGTTCGCCATGGAAAATTCCAACCATAAATGGAGGTTGATGTCGCTGGGAAAATCATCTAGAAATGGGCCATGTTCCAGAGCTATATTGAAATCACCAGATGGTAACAACTGAATAAAATCAATAAATGGCAAACTCTAAGTGGATATGTGGGAGATTTGAATGGTAATGATAGTATCAATGGATTGGTTTGACATCGGAACATCACCAGAGAGCATGGTTTCTCCTGAAAGTTGGGATTTCCATGTTTTTTTTCCGTAAATTCATTCCAGCACCAAGATGTGAATTTGGCAGAGCACTTGTTTGAGAAACAAAACTTGAGGAAACAAAGCAAGTGGACCAGAAATGGGAGATTCACCAGGTGCGGAGTTGTATAGCCAAGAAAACCATGAGTGAAAGGGGTGGCCCTGGTTGACCAACAAAAAGTGGGGATCTATATCATCTAATTGAAATACCTAACTTGCATTAATTAACGAGAAATTGTAATGTAGGTAACGCAAGTTAGAGCAAGACAATGCGATCGAGCCCGCAAAGAACTGCAATTGAAGCTGCCAAACATGTGGATGCAATGATAGTAACTTCCAAAGGTATGTAAGAGTGTTGAACAGCTCACCCATCTCTTGCCAGTTGCTAGATATGCGTTCAGAGGGTTTGAGAATCAAAATGTACTATAGTTCAATTCATGAACGGCCTTGGCCCATGCTGGTGTGCGAAATGGCTATGCTTAGAAGATCTAAGATTGCAGTAGTTAATAACAATTGTTGGTAATCATCAAGTAGCTGATGTAGCTCAGCCAACCATTTGTTCCCCAAAGTGAGACAGCTTCAAATTGTTTCAGAATGTTTGCAATCCCAACAATACCCAGCACCCAGCCATGTTAGTGTCCAAACTCCAAACATGCAACCTATTTGGGGATGCCATAGTGCATTTTTTTTACGTGTCCGAATCAGGTTGGAGCCGGTCGACAAGCATTTGGAGACCGCCAAGAAGACCCTGCAGCAGGCATGGTATCTTGACTGCAAGGTGGCTTCAAAGCTGCAGGGTGGTGCCCCAGTGAGCGATTCATCGCTAAGTTGGTGAACATGACTCCAAGTTCACGCATGGGTTTATGATACATATATAACTTGTATAACTAGTTAATAGGGCTTAAAAGCCAACTGGGGGGCACCACCTTATGGAAAACAACATGTTATGTGACTCTGACTCTGCTTCTCAAGGTGTTGGCCGATAAACTGGATGCACCATTCCATTCCAACATGAGACTTGACCCACGATGTTGATAAGAAAACAGGGGCATGGAGTGGTTGATGAATGGCGGTTTTCGGGGTCAAACTCAAACAACAGGTTCAACAAGATGAGCATCCTGCCCGCTTCACTTTTTTTAAGACCTGCCCGCTACACCTGAGTTGATGCTTGTTTGTGCGTTTGTTGACCCCTTGGTAAAACGCAATCTTCTTTGGTAGTATTCACTGCTCACTTGATGTCCATGGTATACATTGTTGTTTACTTAGTGAGTAGATGGCGGAGCTTAAAACAGTTGAAGATGGATATCTTCTGGTAAATAAACATAGACCCTGAAAATAGCCATTGTTTGGTGGAAACTAATCTTCCAACCCCGACAACTGCCAGGGTCTGTGTTAATATACTGGAGGGTAAATATGAGGAAGATGCATGCGCAAAGTTGGACCAGCTCTGTGTGTCAAGTGACCTTGGGAGGATCCTTGCTGTCTGATGACGATTTTTACTCATGAACGAAGTGTGTATCAATGATTATACTGATTATACTGTATACAGAGCAGGTGAGTTTCTGGTTATATATGATGAGACAAATATAAACATGAACAGCTATAAATGTGAATCACCACTTAAATGATATTTGTCATGATGTTTATAACATGTTATAACTATAGTTTGAAATTTGATGATGTTTATAGACCTATAATCTGTACCATAGATCTGGGTCAATTTGATCACGACCTCATGCTGCGACGTCACTATCCCAAATTGGTAAACCATTTTGTTTGATCCTAGATGTACATAGTTGCTAGCTGGGTTTGACTGAAAAGAGGCTACCTCAAAATAGCATTTATCATATTTTTCCAAAATGATTCTGATTCCTCATGTATCCCATTGTCCAATCTTTATATATATATATATATATGTATTATGTATTATTATGTATGTATACAAATATATATTTAGGCAGGGAAGCCTCCACAAATCTCGAGCCTTACCGCGCAGCGCCGAGGCCGGGGGAATTCTACTGCTGCACGCTACAAGACTTCGATCCCGGGAGGAGATTGGTTTTTTTTCGTCATCAATGGAGTGTTAGTGGAGTACAATCCTGGTTGGTGCTTTGGAACATGAATGGATTATGACTTTCCAGAAACACTTGGAAATTTCATGGATTATAGTGGTTTAATGGATGTTAATGGATTTTTCCATTAATGGTGCTTTGGAACATATTTGTGATGTGATGATTCAGCGAAAGATTTCGGATTTCAGGAATTTCAGGATGTCCTTTTGATAGAAACATAACATATAAGTCTGGTTGGTGGTTTGGAACATTTGGATGATTTTTCCATATATTTGGAATGTCATCATCCCAACTGACGAAGTCCATCATTTTTCAGAGGGGTAGGTTGAAACCACCAACCAGATGCCATTAAAATTCCCATTATATAGATCCTATGAAACCACCATTTAAAATCCCATAAAACCATATAAAACCAATTTTTGGTGACTTAGATCCCTCAGAAATTCGGAAATCGTTGGGTGTTTACCCTGGCTTTGATCGGCTTTGTGCATTGATATCTGGTTTATTTGATATTTTCTATTCACTAATATTATATACCAATAGTATATATACTATTGAAAATCATTGCAATATTATACACTAATAGTATTATGTATTATATATGGATATTAATAGTATTATATACTAATGGTATTTATATACTATAAATCTGTGTATAATAATATAAGTTAGTATCTCTGCATCAGGACCCTGCCCATCGCCATCTTGGACCCTGATGGGATCCTGATGCAGCGACCGCGGTTAAACAGATATTGATAAGAGATAATAACAGATATAATGGATATAATATATTAGATATCATATTAGATATAAATATTGGGATTATAATTGGATTATAATGGGATTATATTCTGGGTAAATTATAACGACCTCACTGTTCTCCCTCACTATAATCATGGTTAGTAAGGGGAATCATCCCAAAATGGCCGAACTATTCAGGTTTGTGAAATATTATAATTTACCCAGATGATATAGATCATAATACAATATAATAGATATCATACTTAGATATATGGGGGGTTCCATAAATGGGGATACCCCAAGCTCGCTGGATGGTTTAGTCAGTGCAAAATCCATGAATACAATGGATGATGACTGGGGGTAACCCCCATGACTTTGAAACCTCCATATGTAGATGGAAAATAACCATACCCAACAAAAAATGATATGGTTTTTGACTATCAAGGATTGGCCATACTACTGGTATACAGTACCCCTGACCACTACCAATGAAACCACTTTAAAACCCAAACTACTCAGTCACCAGGCTCAGATATCAGGGCTTTCCTACCCGCGTTTGTCCTTGGGAAAGCACTAAAACTTACCACTTTCCAATGGTCTCATTAGGCCTACCCCATTCCCAACTGGACCCCACAGCCCCTGGCCATGCCCCCAGGCGTGGTGTCTATGACTTGGTTTGGTGCCAGCACTTTGGTGCGTTCGTGGATAGGGCCTGCAGGGGCTCGGAGTTAGGACATTGGGAAGTTATTTATGTTGTTGTTATTGTTTAAGGATAGGGATAAACTAACCAATCCCATTTTACATACGTATATATATATATATATACAATTATATATATATATACACATTTTTCCCATCAGTGTATATATATATATACACATCAATAATAAATGTAGATATATATATATATTACATATAACATATATATATACACACATCAATAATATGTATATATATATATATATATGCACATCATTATGATATAACAGGGAATACCAACTAATCAATAATCAAACTAATTGGGAATATCATTGGCCTAACCAACTGAAGATAAAATAATGGGGATAATATCTATAATCCCATTCCCTTGTAATATTAACATCCCAGTAAGGTGTAAATCCCCTACTAAACTATGGTTTCTGGGAGGTGTTTCATATCGGGGGGAAGGATTAAATAGCTTACCTATTGCAACGATTTGTGGTCTATACCAGTCAAACCATGTAATTTGTGGTATATACCATATATATATATAGTTTACCTGTTTCTATGATTTATGGTTGATATTTTGAACTAGTTCTTCGATGTGGTTTATACCAATCAAACACAACTGGGGTGGTTCACCACCCTGTGCGGGTCCCGGAATCCCTGCAGCCCTCATGGTTTCTGCTGGTTTCTAACTGGGCCAAAAAGATGGATTCATGGTGGATATTACCGGTAAACTAACATGACTATTGAAAAACAACCAGTTTACTTACTAAAAGTGGTGATCCAGTTATGATTAGTTGATAAAACAAAAACTTACAACCAGTTAACCACTGGTAATTTAACATGACTATTGAAAATGGTTCATTTATAGTTGATTTACCTACTAAAGGTGGTGATTTTCCATAGTTATGTTAGTTTACCAGAGGGTATATCATTTATAATCCATAGACACGGGTTATAACATGTTAACCAACTTGTCGTTGCGAGGCCCCTGTAAATAATTCTAGGTTTACCTTCTGGTATTTTTCACATTGCTATTGAAAATCACCATGTTTATAATTATAGAATAGGTGCATCATCAAACATGGCCATTTGAAGTATAGCTATGTTGAATTACCAGAGGATATCTTCGTACTTTCGAGATGACTTGAGATGGGCACGTTTGACCCAACCACTTTGCTGCTGAGATGGAAACGACGGACACACCCAAGCGATGTGTCTAAGGGTCCAATCTTCTGCACTTGCCTTCGGACGTTTTTTTTTCCTGATATGTCTGCAAAGAATCCTTTGGACAGTATGTAGCTATGCACTGAGCCTATTTAGTTTGTTTTGTTTTTCGGCAAAGAGAAGAATACGAGTAAAAACTACCTATCCCACTGATAGTTCTCAGCTAGGCAGTCTAGGCTACTGTATCAACAGTGTTTGTTAGGTGAACGCATGCGAAGACTTTCTTGAACTTATCACTGGTTGGTGGTTTCAATCATTTTTTATTTTCCATAATATACGGGATAATCCTTCCCATTGACGAACTCATATTTTTCAAGATGGTTATTGCACCACCAACCAGATCAGTTAATCACTATTAGTCACCATTAATCACCATTAATACACTATTAATCACTATTAATCACTATAAATACACTATTAACCACAACCAGAATATTATTAACCATCATTAACCATATAATAACCATATATTAACAACTCTGAACAGTATATTAACCACATCCACATCCTCCAGATCGGGCACTGAGGTGGGTCTTGATGTACATCACCGACTCAGATGTGCTTTACCTCAGGAGATTTCAGGAGCACAGGCACACATCATCCCATAGTTTCTTTGTTGTGGCTAGGAATCCCTTTGTTATATATGGATTGATATGGAAATCTCTATGGGACCTATGGCTAAGGTAAATAATAACACTGGCTAACACATAATCCCATAGATATCTGGCTAAATTATAACGACCTCACTGCGACCTCACTATAATCATAGTTAGTAAGGGGAATCATCTCCAAAATGGCCTTAATTCAGGTTAGTAAAACATTATAATTTACACAGATATATGCAGTACAATGGGAGTTTCAAGAATTTATTATTGTTCAACAATACTTGGGATAATTGGTTGAGATGACTGTATTTGTATGTAATGTATAATGTATATATATATATGCATGTTATAGCAGTTAGAGGATGCTCCGTTTGTGTGTGCCCAGCATCGGCAAATTGCTGGGTGTCCAGTTTCTGATTAGCCCAAGATCGGATCGTGCACTTAGATCCGACTGACTATGGATGCCTCATTCCCTCCACGTGTTCATAGATGTGACCCTAGGGTAAACAAACATAGATGTGGAAATTCAAGCATTTCAAGACTATATTTTCTTGGGATTTCTCCTGGCTTTTGCACATCTATGTTACCTCGTTTACCCTAGGGTAATAACCCAGTTAACTGGCAATTGGCAATAGTTAGCCAGTGATGACATAGATATACTTATAACCAGTTAACTAGATATTAATAGTTGAAACCATTACCAATTGATTAGTTGATTAAATTAATAGCTACAATCAGTTAACCACTATTACTGCTTGGTGGTTTGGAACATTTTATATTTTTCCATATATTGGGAACAATAATCCCATGTGACTAATATTCTTCAGAGGGGTTGAAACCACCAACCAGTTATCCATTAAGATTCCCATTAGATCCTATTAAACCACCATAATATCCCATTAAACCACCATAAAATGGCCATTTTCAATAGCTATGTTAGTTTACCAGAGGGTAACCACTATTAGTTTTATAACCCAGTCAACACAGGCGTTTTTCCATCTGCCAAGGTGGTGGCGTTTCTGCAGCGCCTCGCAAGGTCCTTGGCGCACTGGGCACCCAGTGCAAGGTGCTGCCGCCGAATGTTGGTAGAACTAAGTGGAAAAGCGAAAAGCTAGAGGGGAGATATGTACTATATATATATATATGATATCATGCTATATGATCACGGAACATGTAATATATGTACATATATATATATATTATAGATTATATATATATATTATATATATATTATAACTAATGATATATCATTTTTTATCTATGGTTCATGGGGTTGGTTTGTACCTATATAATGGCACCACCTTCTGGGAACATCAACAGACGATTAGAAGAACTTAAGTTCAAGAGAAGACGGGTCCTTGATGAACAATATTATCTGGTTGGCAGTTTTACCACAATTTTACCACTATTTATGGATATTTATTTGGTTGGTGGTTTCAAACATGATTTTTTTTCCATTTCATATATGGAAAATAATCCTTCCCATTGACTTCCATATTTCTCAAGATGGTTATTGCACCACCAACCAGTTATGGAATTTGGGCAACACAAACATATGTAGGTATTATAGTACACCCGAACAAAACAACGCGGCTAAGAAAAACAATGGTTCTTAAGTAGCTCACATAACTCAGATACTTAGTACTTAGAACCATTGTTTTTTGTTGGTGGTTACTTACCAACAGTTCTTCTTTTTTTGATGGTGAGCATTGCTCGTAACTTCCCATTGTAATTCACGGAGTCATTCATGGTGCCCCAGAGGCCACCTTGTTTTTTTGTTTACCGACGTGGAAGGATGAAAAGGCCTGTAAGATTGGAAACAAGTTCTAATGATTTCATGTTGATATAGATATATATATATATATATGTATACATATATATGTATATATATATGTATATACATATATATATATATATATATACAGCGCACATATATGATATAATATACATATATAGATATTGATATCTCTGTACATCACAAATCATGAAAGGCATGCTTGAGGTGCTTGATTCTCAGATATACATTTTTTCATGACTACCAGAGTCTTGGAAACTATGGCGCTTGTGCGTTTTCGATGATGCTCTGAAAAAATGAGGCCCGCTGGCACCGTGGTCGTGAAGGCTTCCCTTCCAACTGATCTATATTTATGGTGGGTGGATGTTGGCTTTTCCGAATGTTTGCTGGACGGTACCCTCTGGTAAACTAACATAGCTATTGAAAATCACAATTTTTAATGGGAAAATCCACTATAAATCACCATTTTCAATAGCTACAGTATGTTAAATTACCAAAGGGTAGACCACCTGAATAAGACTGAATCTATTCATTTTGGGGCATAAGATTGGTGATATTTGATATGATGGGGGATGGGATTCTGGTTGGTGGTTTGGAACATGAATTTTATGACTTTCCATTCAGTTGGGAATGTCATCATCCCAACTGACGAAGTCCATGATTTTTCAGAGGGGTAGGCATACCACCAACCAGATGGGATATTATGGGATAGAATGGGATAAATATTGGGATTATAATGGGATGATGATGGGATTATATTGGGATTATATATATCCGGGTAAATTTCATCACTACCAACCAGGTAGTTTGATTAGATATTCGAACACGACTTATCCATGGGAGGATGATCCCAAGTCTTGGGAGCTTCGCAGCGAGTAAATTCATCGGCTAGCTGCACATAGCATTTCTGGTTGGTGGTTTCAAACATGAATGGATTATTTCCATTTCATATATGGAAAATGTCATCCTTCCCATTGACGAACTCATATTTTTCAAGATGGGCAAAACCACCAACTTGATTTGTGTGTGTGTGTAAACTTAGGCTCTAGGATGGTCTAGGTACTCTGATATTTAATTGGATAGAATACTTCAGCAGCATGGATCAGGCAACTTGCATGGTTTAAACCGACTTTGACCCAAGACGTTGATGTGCCATGATCAGTCGAATCAGATTTGGTTGGTGACCAACAACAAAAACGGTTTGGCAAAATCCAATCTTGATTATACAACAACTATGCTGCTGCTCCATATCAACCAACTTAACAAGCTGGTGATTAGCTATGGTCAATCAGCATGTTAAGAGGAAAACAAATCCTTCTGGTCATTTAAGATAGCTATGGAACATCCTAATGGTTTAAAGGCACATCATCATAAATTATGTCTGTATGTGTATATATATATAGGGGCCATTCTCCATAGCCATGTTACATAACCAGACGGTATTGCTTGGGATGGCTACAGCAACCATCAGCATCCGCCAGCATCGTTGTGCTTGCTGCCAGGAAAATGTGGCGCAAGAAAGTGAGAAGACTCAGACTTCGGGGGTCTCCGGGGTCATTGCTGGTTGTACCCTCTGGTACCTCTGGTATGGTTAATAGTGGATAATAAGTGTTAATGGCTGGATTACCTCTGGTAAACTAACAGTTAATGGGATTATTAATGGGATACCCTCTGGTAAATACTAATTGGTGGGATAATCTATGGATAATCTATGGTTAATATGGTTTTAATATGGTTTTATAGGGATGATAATGGGATAATGATGGGATAATACTGGGATATACCCTCTGGTAAACATTTGCATAGCTATTGAAGCCATGGCCCATAGAAATAGTGGATTTACCCAGCTAGAAAATGGTGGATCTTTCCATAGTTTTTTGCTAACGTTTACCAGAGGGTATTTTGGAGCAGGAATCCGAATGTTTAGGCTGAGAAATGATGACAGCAGGCAACCCCCTGTCGAGAGCGTCCCGACCCCATAAAGACGGGAACATGCCATCATCAACATGACAATGTGGCAAACCCAATAATCAATCATCAAATTACTTGTGATTATGGATGATTATGGAGCATGCATGATGTCCTTGGGTTTACCAAATTGCGGGAATGACGTTTTGATTTATTCAAGGATAGTCGGTGGTTCACTCCAGCAAGCGGGCACAACAAGCAATTATATATTGTTGGGTCACTAAGTGGTCTAAAATGGACACTGCCCTTGCTTTTAGTACTGGATTGAATGGACCCATCAACTATTTAGGTGGGGTGAAGCCCCAAGTCAATTTTGATTCGAAATGTCCCATGAAAATCTCATCTGGTTGGTGGTTTGGAACATTTTATTTTTTTCCATTCAGTTGGGAATTTCATGATCCCAACTGAATTCGTCCATGATTTTTCAGAGGGGTAGGGCTCAACCAGCAACCAGATGCCATTAAAATTCCCATTAGATCCTATTAAACCACCAGAATATCCCCATTAAACCACCATTAAATGCCATTAAACCACCATAAAATCCAATAAAACAACCATAAAACCACCTTAAAATTCCCATTAGATCCTATTAAACCATAATTCAAACCAAGCAGGCAGCGACCTGGACATTTCTCTCAGGGGTTGGTTCCTACTTTGACGATGAAGAGGGTGAGCTGTGGCGCGGCCCGGGACTCGGACCTGGGATCCCCAGGGGGAAGGGGGGATAAACAACGAACTATAGGTAATGGGGTTTATATATATATACACATTATATATAGGCCTTATCACACCTTATGTTCATGTTCAATCATGTTCATGGGGTGTCTCTTTTTAAGTACTTGACATTATTTATATGTATATATATATATACACATTATAAACCAAGAAACATAACTGGGTGGGACCACTAGACCGTTGTTATTCCTTTTCGGATGTCATCTTTCAAATTTGCTGCTTGCCCATGTCTACGATTCCTTGAATATGTGTGGAGTTTTTAGATAGTTTTTAGATAGAAATATCGTGAGAGGCAAGTCACAGCGGCTGAACATGTGTGCAGAACCCTGCCCATGAATTCAAAGGTATGGGTCTGGGCTTGAATTTGAGACTCCAAATATCATTCACAGGGGTTCACTAGAGGCACTTTGCAATAACCACTGCCCAGTCCAATGTTTTTATTCCAGCGCTTTCAGGCGGCGGTGCCTCGCAAGCCTCGCAACCCATGTCTGTGCTGTGGGGGGCATGGTCAAGGGCTGGGGATGTGTCATTTTTGGAAGGATTTTGGTGGCAAAAATTGGGATTTCATTGGCACAACTCGGAATTCAACAGAGATATTGGCCAGCAAACATTGGAATTCAACCAGCAAATATGGAGAATTTCAATGAATTTGGCTGGTGCACCCCAAATCACACATGTCCAGTTGCAGACTTTCATGGAAGCTCACTGGGACAACATTAGATATTAGGATATTGGAGGTGCATGGGAACTTCTTGAATCCCGACAGAACGATCTGAAAAAAATACCCAACATATCCTCACACAGTTCTTTGTTCTTACCACTGCAAATAATGCTGAACCTGTGAACATCCATGAAGCATGTCAAAAGTGGCCTTGAATCAAGCTATGGGATTTACCCTCTGGTTATGTCAAAATAGCTATTGAAAATGGCCATAGAAATAGTGGATTTACCCATTAAACATGGTGATTTTTTCCATAGTTTTTTGTATGTTTACCACAGGGGTACCATACATGATACTATCCAAGCTTTTAACCTCGTGGAACCACCACCCGCAGCTCGGAAATCTGATTTTGACGGTGTCACTCAGGCGAACACCGCAGCACTATGTCAAGCTCTTCAGAGAGTCTGGGTCAATGACTTAGAATAGGACATAGCTGACTGTTCAGTGCCTGATAAAGGACTGGGAAAGGCATTGCAAAGTGTAGTTTGACCTTTTTCTGGTTGCTGGTTTGGAACATTTTTTTTTATATTTCTCCATATATTGGGAATAATAACCCCAACTGACTAATATTTTTCAGAGGGGTTGAAACCACCAACCAGGTAGTTTGACCAATTTTGACCAATGGTGGCTGGAAAATCGTTGAACAAATATGATTGCCAGAGGGGACGTATGCACTGATATTATATATATATATATTAGTTCTATACTCGGCATGTGGGGATTTGGCTTCCAAATGAAGCATACTCTTCACATCACTTACTGTATACGTCTATGACTCTACGACAGCAAAAAACTGAATACATCATAATAGAGCGTCATAAGCTGGCTTACAGTGTATTCTTAACCACTGGATTCAAAGCTGGTGTTTTATAATCTTTATAGCTTCATTTGCTCCATTTCCAGATGAGCATTCCCGACCCAGAAATTCTGTTGCTTGCCAGTCCCCTCAACAAAGTGAGAAGTTTCTGAAGTTTCTGGTCAATGTGCTATTTCCCATGGATTTCCCATGGATTTCCCCTGTATTTCCCATGGATTTTCCCTGTATTTGTATCAGCCGGATATGGAAATTGGCGTCTGACAGTTTTGCCACTGATTCCAAGCCATCAGACCCTAGAGACAACTAGACGACGGCGGCTACGTTGGTCTTCAAATCTCTGGCTGTGGGAAGATGATTTTGGGCAAGAATCGTTTGACACCATGCTCACTTTTATAGTTGGTTGAGCATACATATAATATATATATATTTTGTTTAAATGCTTGTGTTACGCAATATCCTTCCCATTTGCCCCTTGGCTTAGATGTGACATGCCCAATCGGGTATTCATCGTCATCACAGGAGCCAACTCCCAACTCGGATGATCCTCGCCCTTTTTGGAAGTAGCCCGATGGCTCTTGACCTATATCATCCTATATTTCTTTTCCATGTCTATAGAAAAACATGGCTTTATCGCTATTGTTGATATTCTAATATCCAATATTAATCAATAGTATATATATATACTCACAGCTCTAAGGTTTTTTATTTTTACTATACCACATGCTTTCAACATACATTAATTATTGTTGGATAAATACATATTTACTAAATGTTGCTAATATCTACGACATATAGAAAAGATAACACATATATATATATATATAAGTATTATTTATCATGTAACCTGCAGATTTTCCCTAATTTAGATGCTCTGGCCCAGGGGTCAGGGGCCGTGTCATCCAGTCATCCAGCATCACCTTTCAAGTCTAGGTGTTGCTGATGTCATTCCGAAGCATTCGTTTTGTTGCCACGATCAGTCGTGTGTGTGGAAGGATGTGGATGGCCATCAAGTGACATGGCTATCTATTGTGGTTGATTCATGTTGGATCTACCCTCTCGTTATTTAACAGTTCGCCATGGAAAGATCCACCATTTTTAATAGGTAAACCATCTATTTCTATGGACCATCTATACCATGGTTATGTAACAAATAACCAGAGGGTAACCCTAAAAACACTAGGAAAACCATAAATTCATCCCCGCCCCTTCCATTCCCCCCCCTTCCCAGCATCCTTCAATGGGAACCAGATTTCTCAGGTTTGAAGTCGTGATGCGTCGCAGACAGTTCTTTTCCGACGATGAAATGTGCCTCGACCTTGCCGTGATATGAGTTCTGCTGTGATGGGCGATGATTGTTTTGCCATGAAAAATTGGCGATCATTGTGATGATCTGGTTATTTAACAGGTCGCCATTGAGAGATCCACCATTTTTGAGTTCGGTAAACCATCTAACCATCTATGGGCCATGGCTTCCATGGCTGTGTTGGTCATAACCAGAGGGTAATGAGATTGGATATAGGTATGATAGGGGTATTCATGGGTATTTACCCAATGGCCCATGTGTTTTGTCTCCCTTATCCCCATGGTGGTTCATACCACCATTATTGCTGGACTTTTTCCGCCATTTGTTGCTCGTTGGAACACCGATATCCTCCTCATTGCGGGGTAATGTCCTCATCCCGGAACTATAATAAAAATTTACTGCTTAAAATACACCAATAATATCCAATAATAAAACTTTACTGCAAAAGAACCACCATGAAATCGCCATGTTTGATACGGATGATCTTTGATGCTTGATATCCACAGTATTACTGCTCGCCCTTTAGATTCCTTCGACCTGGTCAAAAAATCCTGCAGTCGGTCCGAGAGAAATGATGTTTGTTTTCTGCATTCAATCTTTGATGCTATCATTAGTAAATAATCAACAGAATCATTACCCTTTGGTAAATGTTTACCTAGCTATGGAAAGATCCACCATTTTCTATCTGGGTAAATCCACTATTTCTATGGCCATGTTCAATAGCTATGTAGCAAATTACCAGAGGGTATCATTATGCTATCCATTAGTGAACTGCTAGAATCAGATGCTATCAGAATCCATAATCGCTGTTGCTGATGAATATCCCAAATAATACTAATCAGATATTCAGATAATAGTCATTGGTGCATCACTGTCCTTGCTGATTAATATCCCACCATAATACTGAATTTGATGCTTCTATCCCCACAATGTGAGGCCCCCGTTCGATAGCTAAGTTGGTTTATTAAGGGGCTACGCCCCCTGCCGCCGACCCCTGGGAGAGAGTGAGTTTGGAACCCTTCCTGCAGTGAACATCTTCCACAGTGATGGCGGCCGAAGCTCAGTCAAAGTCGCACTTAGATCGTTGATGGCCCAAGCTTGCAGGAGTAGACGTCGCCAGCATGGCCTCCAGACATTCATGGAATTTGAACGGAATCAGAAGATCAGCAATTCGAAAGATGAACATTCAAAGAGCACAGGGCAATCGAAATCATAGAAACTCTCAATGCATTACCATATTAAAGAAACCATTTGATCATCCTACTTGTAAAGTCATCCCCAGTGTCATTACCCTAGGTTGCACATCGATAGGGTCGTTACATCATGGTGTAATTATACATCTTCAAACATCTGCAAACTAGCAAGCCTATGCAAGATAGATGCAATATAGATGCAAGATAGTAGATCGAGATGCACGTCGCCGTCGAACATGCCTGTCCTTGGCCCGGTCCGTTGTGATGATGGACTTTTAGGCCTGAGATGTCGTTTGATTCGCATGGCCCGCAGCGAGCGTTGGGCTCAGGTATTGTTTCTGATTTTAACTCAAAGGGTAGCGGGCTGGCAGTTGGTGAGCAGCGCAATATTCGGATTTCGCCAAGGTGTGTTAGCATTTGTTTCAGATATTGTTCAAAACACGAATTGCACTGTGACTTGCGGCCATTGAGACATGAAATCATATGTGTCATAGCATCTCCAGGGGGAAGAGATATCAACTCGCAATTTTACCCACCTCAATAGTTTGACTGTCCGTGTATTGAGGTGACAATTGCCTTCTGGCAGCCATGTGTTCTGGATCCTTGCGAGTTTTCTCGCTCCTGCACAGAACGAGCAGGCTCCGCTGAGCGGCAAGGTTGAAACCTTTGATGAAAAAAATGGACCTGCTCTGGACTCTGGACAAAGTCAAAAAGTCCTCAAGATGCAACTCTTCTCATGGCAGGTCAGCATTCACTTGAAAGTACTTCTTCCTCCACAATCCCCAGTGATTGTTTGGGACTCAGCGAATCCAATGTTCGTATTGGATTTTCATGGTTTTTAATTCAAACTCATATTTTTTTTCGTCTTTAACTGATTTTTAAGTGTTCGTTCATGGGTGTGACTTGTTCTTTTTTTAAATGTGTCTTAGATGATTCTACGCAATGAACATGGATGAAACATGGGTGAATCATGGAGTAAAGGAAACATATCCCAACATTTGTGCGAACCGCAGGTTCGACTTTCCTGCCCTTTGGGACAGGGTGTGTGAAAATGGCGAAGAATTTTGGTGGGAAATATGATGATTTGAAATGATTAACAATCATTTTTTCCCCCCTTAAATCCCTTAAGTTTTTAGTGTTCATTGATAGAAGAAGGAGCAGGGAGGTTGGATTTGGCTTCTGGAGGAGACTGAGACTTTGCGCCTTATGAATGTGTGATTGAGCCAAGGGTTGTAGGCCCTAGAGCACTGAGCTGCTATTGCCCAGTGAGCCAGGCATTGACATGTGGGGTGCTGCAGTGCTGATAGCATATGCCCTTGGCTTAGCATTGGGCTGTTGCATGGAGCAGTTGCATAGAGTTTGGAATTTACCAAAGGGTTTGTTGCACAGAGCCTTTCTGAATTATATGAACACATTAGCTTACGTTGGCAATTTCTTGGCAATATGCCACATATATATATATGTGTGTATATATATATAACATAATCGATGCCATAATCTGCCTGGATGTCTTTCGCACACTCAGAATTTAGGGCCCTGGCATCCACATATCACGAAAGGTAGCCTAGGCTACCTGAGTTCTATGTACTTTAGTACTAGTTTAGTACTGGGGGAGGTGGCTGCTCCTTTCCCGGAAATTGAAAGCCGAGAGTCACGAACGGAGACTTAGGGGGGGGGGGCCCCCCCCCTCCCCCCCCCATTCGATTCCCCCCTGGTCCGCATTTTTTTCTCTCTCTTTTTCTCTGACTCTGTACCTACCTCCTTATCCATCTATCTATCGATATATCTATCTATCTAGTTGTCCATCTATGTATGTATTTATCTATCTATCCTTGGATCTATCTATCTATCTATCTACCTATTGATCTATCTATTTATCTATCTGTTTATCGATCAAGGTAGCCATCGATCTATCTATTTATCGATCGATGCTTCTATCTCTCTATCTATTTATTCATCTATTTATTTATTTATTTATAGTTTTATCTATCTATCTATCTATCTATCTATCTATCTATCTATCTATCTATCTATCTATCTATCTATCTATCTATCTATCTATCTATCTATCTATCTATCTATCTATCTAATCTATCTATCTATCTATCTATCGATGTATTGATCTATCGATCTATCGTGGATGTTCTAGTCCCATTGAGGCCGTGCCGGGGAATAGAGACTCGCAATGTTTACGTCCGCGCGCGTGAAGTTACTTTACATTTGACATTATGTTTCTGATTCTATTCCCACAAAGCTTTTTTGGGGGCTAACATTTTCTTCTGCAGGAGGTTTGAGTGAAGAGAAGTATCAATCTCAGTTTGGCAATATTTTTCCTGTTGCTCTCTTTTGCCCCCCCCTACCTTTCGTCCCCCCCCTCTCAAGTTTTGTGTATGAGTGTGCTCAGAAACGGACGACAATTTTAAAGGAAACCATCATCAATCTATGCATGTTGCTTCACAAAGGCAGCTGCAGTTCTTTTGTCATTGCTGAGCTGCTACTCTTGATTGAGCTTTGTGGAATGGTCATGTTCTGAAATTCAGACTCAAAATATCTCAAAATCATGGACCTCCAAACCCACAGTGTTTCCCACATTCTGAGGTAAACTCTTGAAATTCTGTGATGTTTCGCTGATCGTTGAGGTCAAAAGAAAAGCGATGGCAGCGCCGTGTCTGTTTTCATGTGTCCAAAGAAGGACATGGATCCAGCTAAGGCTGCTGTTGTTTTTACGCACGTTTGGAAGGGCCCCCCAAAGGATGGGTAAGTTAAGTTGGTTCAACCAGGCCAACCAGCATGTATGGGCGATATATCATCAGATAGGCTTAGCTAACTTGTCACTGGAGGGGGCCTGAGGACTGGACTGGACTCCAAAAAATGTCTCGAGGTCAGCCTTTCACAGTTTTCACGTCAAAACATGCGTTGTCGCGTCGGTCGCGTGATGTTGTCGCAAGGGATTTCCAAGACACAGGCCTTCAGGATGATTGAAAGTAGCAGTGATAAATCGAAAGTGATGCTGCCATGTGCAGGTTGTGGCTGCAAAGAATGAAGATCAAGTCTCAAAAACTTTGAGGCAGCGCACAGATGATTCTGTCCAGAAACACCAGACTTGTGCCGTGTATAGCACTGTGACTTTGCTGTGAGATGATAATGATAGAATATGATAGAATTACATTGCCATTTTTGTCAACTTAGATTCAAATTCCTGAAATCGTTGTCTTCAATCCACCATTTACGAAAGCTTCAGCCGCTTGGCCAGCAGATTCTCGTGGTTCAAGGCATCCGAATGTTCTGCAATCTTTCACCACCTTGGAGACCGAAGGCGAAACGGGGGTGTATTTTGCCAATTCCAAGTACAGCCGGTGGAAATATGATATCAAATCATATCAAGTCACACTAGAAATAATATCACTATCATAAGTTGGATGTTTCTTTCAGATCTTTCAGCTTTTGAGAACAATGAAACAAGGAAATTTGACTCAATAGGTACTCGCACCCGGAAACTAAGCAATGGAAAACCCTGATTTGGCGAAATATTTTCGAAAAAGGTAAATCATCGAAGTAAACGGGCCATGGACTTCCATATCAGGCGGTTTCTACATTGTTACCGAGGAGGCATCATGGGGCTCGGTGGGGTTAGCATGAGAAGCCGTGCAATTCGAAACCGTTTCAAGATGTTCAGGGTCAAAAAATGTGGTCATAGACATCGGGATTTCAGCCAAGACCCCATGTAGATCAATGATATCCCTGTAGATGGTGAATTAGTGGTTGTTGTTTTTTTTAAGAAGCCCATATTTTCCCTTGATATCATTGATATCACCCATCAATAAACCCATATTTGGTACTAATCAACATAAATATACCCATCAACACCCATATTTTCCCTTCATATCTTACCGACGGCTTCTGTCCGGGTCGTTCCATTGCCCTGTGCGAAACCTGCTGAGGGTACGCCCATCAGGTCTATAGCCATGGCCGAATGGATTGGATGCTTAGGGCGAAACCATGTGAAACCCTACCAGGGCATGTGACTCATCAAATGTCAGAGTCTTGCAGCTAGATGCCATTCATTCACATTCATATCGTATATATATATATTAATTATATGAATTCATATTGTATATTCAATGCATGTGCTAAGTTCATCCGAGTCGTGCTTCCGAGGTTCTTGATGGTCAGTTGCAGCAAAGCATTAGTTTTTTCCAAGCATTTCAACCATTTCTCTTGCATGACAAACTGGGTCCTCCAAACGCTTTTTGCAGGTGCTGGATGGACTGAGTTTCTTGCATTCCGGCGGCTTCACCCATGGCCTATTTGGGCCCTTGGCAGTCTTTGTCAATTCACAAGGAGACTACAGGTGGGCTAAAGGGATGGTCCTGGTCGGCACAAGTGACAAGGTGAACTGCGCGGAAGGGGTGGGACAGTAGAAATCAGTAGAAGCTCAGTGTCATCCAGGCTCGGAAGTTTTGAGCTGTGCCAGAAGGGAATGGATACAGGTGGGATAGCTCAGAGGCCCAGAGGCTCCGTCAAAAATGGGGGATGGCGAAGGCACCAAATTTTCATGGAACTGTCACCCCCCATTGTTCCTGGATACATCAACTGGCCTTAACTAACCTTAGCTAACCTGAACTAACCTTAGCCAACCTTAACTAACTTTAGCGAACCAACCAACTGTCAAAGGCTCACCCACTTCCTGCGAAAGTGGCTGAGGCACCGCGATTGCCTCGCGGCGCCGGGTTGGGCCAACATTTTCAGGGTGCCGGGCTTGATGAAATTGCTGGTATTCCCATGTTCCGCACCCAAATATCACATTGAAGATGCCATGAAAATGATGGAATTCCATTCAATCTCTATTTCTAACGGTAAAACCATCTAAAACCTCCATAATGTCATTTCACCATCACATTTTTTTAATACGGAGGTGTCCTAAGTCATGGGGGTATCATCGAAGTCATTAGACAACGAATTAGTATTGTAACCCATGGTGACTTGGGGATCCCCTCATGGAGGTGATTAAATCTGGAAAAATCGGAATATCACATTTTTAAATCCTGGATTATTACATCCCGTCAATTTCATAATCCATGATTAAACGTGGTCACATAATTCATTCCATACGTGACCATCTAGATCGGCCCTTCAGTGGTTAGACCCAGTGATATCCAAGAAGATGGGGAGTAACAGTCTAACGTGGTTAACTAAGGATACAATCTAGTTTTGGCTCTTAGGGACAATTTGTGTGTTGATTCCATTCTTTTTATATCGAATACTACCAAGCAGGGACCTAAATTCATGGATAGATTCACTCCGTTCCAGCAGGATTTTGTTTGGGGATATTGAAGATGAAAGGAGGATGGGACTAACAACATATGCAACACACACACATATATATATATGTATATGTATGTATATATATATATATGTGTGTATGTATGTATATGTATATGATATGTATATGTTATGATAATATATATATATATACACATGCATGTAGTAGAGCTTAACCTAGCCCTATGTTTCACCTGCAGATTCTCAATAAATCTCAACCCCCATGACTGGGTCGACCATATAATATTTCAGGGCGGGTTTAAAAATAGGGACCCATTCCATCAACTGATTCACCATCATTTTCCCCCAGTACCCTCTGGTAAATTAACATAGACCCTGAAAATAGCTAATTTTTAATGGAAACTAGTCTTCCAACCCCTATCTGCCAGGGTCTATGTTTATTTACCAGAGGGTAAATGGTGATGTCATCAATATTTCATGAACATCCCCACTATAGAAATCCCCACGATGATTGTTGCCAGAATTTCCCCATTGTTGCCATAAAAAAAACATCATTTCCCCAGATTTTCTCCATTTTTTTTGAGGGAGATATCCCATGTTTGATGACACAGTATAGGGTATAGATCATGACATCTTCCAGTTCATATACCATGAAATACCATGAACTCCACCATGTTTGAGGGATTTTCCACCATTTTCTACCATATTCCAGTCATATACCATTAGTAATTTATCACTAAATTCTATGAACTCCACCATTTTTGATGGATTCTCCCGCGCAGACCACGGCTTCATGCTGTCCGAAGCAGCGCATGTGGGGCTGCTGCCAGAGCAGGTGCCATGGAGCCAGGAGGCGGGATGTCGATCCCATGGAAATTTTGGGGGTCCAAAAACTTATTCTGATTATCCTCTGGTTATGACTAACATAGCCATGGTATAGATGGCCCATTTATGGATGGTGAACAACTGGGTTTACCTGGGTTTACCTATTAAAAATATGGTGATTTTCCATGGCAAACTGTTAAATGACCAGGGGGTAAGGATTATTGCCATATTGGGTGGAATAACCATCAACCATCTATCTTATATTTTGTTACTTTGGGCGACCACAGATGGTTTAGTCTATTTTTGGGATTAAGCATCCTACTGGTAGTATCCAATTTTGTGTCAAAATCCCATTGGTTTATTGTGAATCTTGGGGGATCGTAACAATCCTTTTTTAGAATAGCTTTAAACCAACAGTAGAACCAGTTCGGCATGGAGTATCCATGATGTAACAATGGGCTTAACGGTTAACACATGGGATTATGTAAGAACCATGATAGAGATAAATAAAAATATATGTATATATATATACACATTTATAGGATAGTATATTGGATATATGATGTATATTTTGGAGAATGTAATGGGGATTATATAATAGAAATGAACTATTTGCGATAATTCCCAATATTTGTCGGATAGCATACCCCCAGACAACGATCAACCAGTTTTTTTAATCATTGCTCAAACGGGGAAAATTATTTTATAAACTATGGGATGGACATGGGCCAAATGCGGCCCTTTGGAAACGCAGCATGGCAATGGAATATCACCATTGTGAATAGATAGGTCCTCAAAACATGTGTAGATTCGTATTGTCATCTTTTTGACGACCGGAGTGTAAAGCATGTTGCTGTTGTGGTACCTTGTAGTTCAACGTACCCTCTGGTAAACTAACATAGCTATTGAAAATGGTCATTTATAGTGGATTTTCCTATTGAAAATGGTGGATTTTTCCATAGTTGCGTTAGTTTACCAGAGGGTACTTAAACCACATGCTTGCCAATCACCTACTACCTTTCAACAGGAATAGTCAAGGCACACCGTGCTCTTCTGAGCAAAGCTGTGATTCACAGGGGATTGGATGGGTAGTGCGTCGATCCGGTGAATTCAATTGGTGATCTTTTTTAGATGTTTGTAAACTAGATAACCATCAATTACCCTCTGGTGAACTAACATTGCAATGGAAAATCACCATTTTTAATGGGAAAATCCACTATAAATGGCCATTTTCAATTGCTATGTTAGTTCACCAGAGGGTAACCATCAATTACCTGTGGTTTAACCAAGTTTAACCCCTTGTTTGACTGGTTACCCTCTGGTAAACTAACATAGCTATGGAAAATCAGCATGTTTATTGGGAAAATCAACTATAAATGGTCATTTCCAATAGCTATGTTAGATTGCCAGAGGGTAACCACCAATTTTATCAAAGGCTTTGTTCGAAAAAAATGGCCCAATTTATGCCCCAAATGCTCAGCCTGACAGGGCGGCTCATCCTCATCGGCCGTCTCGGTGACGACCAAGCTGCCTGCGGTTCCGGAGGTGATGTATTTGATCTCTCCCAATGGACAGCAGAGAAAGGCTGGGTAACTGCCTGGTGAACTAACATAGCAATTGAAAATGGCCATTTATAGTGGAGTATCCCATTATAGGGGTTAAACTTGGTTAAACCACAGGTAATTGATGGTTACCCTCTGGTGAACTAACAGTTTGCAATTGAAAATGGCCATAGAAATAGTGGATTTTCCCATGAAAAATGGCAATTTTCCATTGCTATGTTAGTTCACCAGAGGGTAACTGGGTCACTGTTTGGAGCATGTTCCATGAATGTTCCATGAATCATGACATCTTCCATTCCAAAAAGGCCAGCATAATAATTGCTGATTTAAGTGACACCTGGTGAAAGCAGGATCTGAGATACATGCATAGATCCAGATTCCGCCATCATGAGATATATCCATGTACAGATGCTATTATCATTACATGATGTTACATTTAAAAAATGAGGTGATGTACTAGATGGGATCAATCATTTCATGTTTTCCTACTCAAATTTTGATTATCAATTTCTGACAACACCTCAACAAATTGCTGATATTTTCCCAACAGGAAATCCACCAGATTTTTGGGGAATCTGTTTTTTTTTCCCCAGGCAGGAACGTATCAGTTGGTGGACACCCTGTGCCACGGATATCCGCATCTTGGACGTCGGGTGAAATCAGCCTTGAAATTCGTGGATTCTTTGATTTTTGATATTCGGGTGTGTCTAAAAATGGGGGATCCCCTTTGAAAAAACTTCCATTTGGGTGTGTCTAACCCCGAAGTAAAATGGCAGTTGTTTTGGGCACCCTCTTTTCAGACAAACTGACAGAGGGGTGAGCCACTGGGCCAGTTGGAAAAGTGAAGAAACATAGTCAGCAGGGAATTGTTACCTGGTAGTGAAGTGAAATAGACAATATCACAATATATCACAATATCAAAAAGACCTAGGAAAATCACTATTTGGGGGAAGTTTCTTGTGTGTGTGATGTCTCTAATTTTTCGCACGCTTTTGTGTAGTGATGCAATGTATGTACTGTGGTCTCGTATCCAATCCACACATATCCAGTAGACGTGGTCAAGTTACATTGGTCATCCCTCACCTCCGACATGACGGGAATCCCACAGGTCATTGTCACAGACTGGGATTCGCATCCTCCGATGGATGGATGACCCATTTTTTTTTCAGAAAACTTCAGGAAAATGTAACTTGAACATGGCAGATATGGGTCCCAGATCTTTGGAAGGGTGATCAGAAAAATCGAGACAATCATTGGTATTAGCGAGGGTATGGAAGAGCTCCGATGGCAAGCGGCTTCTCTACACTGGTAATGATGGCAGATGGTACTTTGGAGGCTGGGGCTTGATGGGAAAACAGCTGACATGGTGAGTTCAAACTATGAGCTTGTGAGTTCAATTTGTTCAGTCGAAGATGTGGGTTTCTATTTCCGGAGGAGTTCATGTACCAAATCAATGGGGTTGCTTGCCTTGAGGGTGTGTATTCTATACATTTCTATACCATTTATGGGCTATTTTGATGGTATCAACTCTGAACTTAAGTGCTTTCATGTGCAACTTCTGGGATAAATTGATGGATAAAAAACATTAGGGCTATGGTCCATCACTTTCCCAGGCTTGCTGACTGTCAACCATTCGACTGAATCCACTAGCTATCGT